ATAGCTCAGAAGGAATCGGAAGCTCGGAACTCGTCAATCATGGAGGTAACGCAACGGTGGTTATGTCTCCATGAAAGCCTGCGAACGCTGGCTTCCCAAACATCCCTAAAGGATGACTTTTCATCCTATCTGGATGGCATAGGCTGGCAAAGTCGGATAACGCGTCAGCTAGAGCCTATTCACTGGGTGGCTTATCATCTTGACCCTGCTAGAGTCCCTGGAAAGGTTGACGAAAGCTCTCGACATCACCTTGAAGGTGTCCTGCGGCCTCTTCAGAACGAAGACAAAAGCTCGTCTGCTTGGCACGAATTTCTGTCGTTTCGGCAGAAGACAGGTGCATTTTATAATGCTTCTTGCTGGAAGGCCAACTGTCCATCTCTCTTTTGGCTTGAAGCCGTAAGTCGAAATCATTCAATTATAAAAAAAAGTACTTATCTTTAAGATCCACTTATAGGCAGACTTTGCTCCTATTCTTGCTCCTTTTGCCCGTCGTCTTTGCAATACCGTGGCGAATTCCGCAGCAGCGGAGAGAGCTTTTTCACAGATGAACCTTCAGCACACAAAAGTCCGGAATCGGCTCGAGCCTCACCGCGTTGAGAAGTTGCTCTTTGTCCAGATCAATAAACGACAATTCCGGACAGAACAGCCTCCTAAAATCACCCAAGAGTTGCTTCTTGAGGAAGAAGACGACGAAATAGAGAGGGCTTTACAGCGTAAGCAGGTGCAGGACCATCTATCAGAGGGTTCTGTGACTTCGGATACCTCGTCGAATCCCGCATCTACTCCTACGTCAAGTCCCACGCCAGGTCTAGGGTCGAATCTCGTGCCAACTTTTGACATAAATCCCGACTTGAATCCCGAGCCAGAACCTGAGCCAGAGCCTGAATCAAATTCGGAACAAGATCCAGAACCGGCTTCTGCACCGACTTCTGCGCTAGTTTCCGCGTTGAATTCCGCGTTGAATTCAGCTTCAGGGTCTGCGAATCCTGCCCTAGTTTCTGCGTTGAATTTGAGGCTTAACTCTTTGCTAAAGCCAAATTCAGAGCCTCCCCCGAGTCCTCCAACAACATCTACGCCAAATTCAGCTCATCCTATACGTCCGAGGTCGATCAGAACCAGCAGCGATAGAACAGTTGAGGTTGGCAACACTAAAGGGAAGAAGCGTTTATCGGAATGGCCTCAAGGAGTTGCAGAGCATTGCGAGCAGCCAACTCAACGGCGGGATGTAAATAAAGGCTGATGTCAATTTCATGCCCTCCCTCCGTATGTAGGGTTCTGATTGGTAGCAAATCAAATAGACCCTACCGTTTACGGAATAGCGCGATTTCAATATTTCAAGGCCCGTTTCAAATTTCATTTCAAGAGGCCAAATTACAGAAATTTCGAAATGTTGAAATTACATTTTGCCTTCCCTAGCTGGAAGGTTCGATGCAAACTTAGCAAACAGAGAGCTCTTTGAATAGGCAATCTGTCAACAATTCCTCTCTGCATCTCGCAGTTGCATGACTGCAGAGAGCCCGGTATTTTCTGGGAGTCAGTGCGGAGTCAATTTGATAGGCAAGGCTCGACAGTAAGGCTTATTCACAATCTTCGCCACTGCTTATCATATCATGATTTTGGATTTTATTGGACAACGGAGATTACTGGCTAACCTGCTTTAGTTCTATCTGCTTAGGTGTCCCCTCACTTGAAGATCTTCACGATGGCCAATAGCCTTTGTAGCGACGATGCCTATCAAACCCGGACAGGCGACCCATGGGACGAAAATTCACAATATGCCCCCACCCCCGGTTACTTTGGTCGTACGCCTACCATGTTCTCTCCTAGCCCTGCCCCGGATTATCCCACGGATCAGGGGCAGTCAGATCAGCTCGATTTTCTCCCATTGGCTGAATGGGACGAAGATGCCGAATATGACGAGCAGTCTCCAAGATATATGCGCTACACGATTGCATGGAAGCTTATGTTCAACCGTAAGAAGGTAGGCAGTGTGACCGAAAAAGATTTGGTTGTAGCTCCCGCGGATTACTGGGCGAAGACTTTGAAACTAGCTGTTGAAGAAATGCTGCAAATGAAAAAGAAAAATGGCCAGCGAGTTCGATCTGAAGGCACGGCTGTTACTGTTAAAGCGGACTCCCGGTGCCAGAAAAACCTCGAACGATTTTTTCCTTCTACTATCGACTGGAAACCAGTGGAAAAGCAGCTACGAAAATGGAGCAACTTGGTTCGCGTGGGCAAAATCCTCACAATCGAGGTTGTCTTCAATTACAGGGGTGATGATGATGGTCTTTCCATGCCCGTATCAAGAACAGTCGAAAAGAGAGGCCGTGTGTCAGCAACTAGCAGAATGTTAGCAGAGCGTGAGAGACTGATTAACCATGAAGAAGAGGCCACCGGACGACCCGCTACTTGGGATCTTGTTTATGGCCTTATGAGATGTGATGTCCGTTCATGCCCACTCAAGTCTGATTGGTGCTGGGAGGACCCCAAGGACAAGAAACACTATAAAATGCGGGCCCCACATCTAGAACGACTGATTGACTATGTTGACGCTGGCAGCAACCTAGACAGTCATGATGATGTCCCCAGTGATATCCGTCGGGACCTGGTTCTGGAAAGTCAGACAGGAAGGAAATCGAAAAAGACTGACATGTTGACAACCGGGCCACCATATCCTCCAACCATCATTAATGTTCTGCCAGCACAAAACGGGGTCACCCCGGCGGTTACTTCGTCTGTACGTAGGCTTCCATCTGACGAGCATGTCGTTATTCTTGGACCTCGCGAAGCTGCCGTGAGAGAATACTGCAAATGGCTGGAATCACGTGCCACCGACGAGGCGTATAAAGCTGATTTCCGGAAAATATGTCAAGTGACGTTGGAAAACCACCTAGATCTTGAATTGATTCTTGAGGACCCAGACTCTGGCTTCTTTGTTCAACGGGGGATCCAGATTGGAACGGCTCGTCGCTTCCTACGCGACATCAATGAATGGGCTACTGTTATGAGATCAAACGGACTTGACTAGACCGACGGCGAAAGACTCGGCTGTGCCGAATAGAATACGGTCTTACCCCACTATGGCTGGCCCCGCAATGGATTGACTGAGCGAACGTTCTGGGCGTTGAAGACATATATTAGTTTGGACATTGATAGTTGCGTTTAGATCATCGGCGTATATAACAACTGAATATGCATTGATTACTGCAGTATACAACATATTTTTCTCATGTGTATGGTTAATTGTCTCGGGCATTCTACGTAATGGTCTTTCTCTCGAAATGGAAAAGCTCTGTTCTCGAGAGAAATCGTCTAGTGTATTGTCACACTATCCGTCTTGTGATTTGTGCACATATTCTTCCACTGTGAGAATCACTTAAGCCCTTTCTATTGTTATACCTGCATGTCGAAGATGACCCTTCGCGCTCTGTTGTTTCGCACCAACATCATGAACACACCGCCGAAGGAAGACATGAAACCCTTGGTCGGGATTCTCTTCGTACGCCGACCACGATTTCTTGATATAAGCTTTCAGCTCGGCAAAGAATTCCTCGATGGGGTTGAAATCTGGCGAGTAAGGCGGCAAGTACAGCAATTTGACCCCTGCGTCGGAACACAACTGCTTGATTCGGTCTGAATGGTGGAAAGAGGCATTATCCATTACAAGCACGGAGTTCGGTTCCGGCCACTTTCCACAGTGCTGAAGAAGTTGCTTTATAAACGATTCGAAGAACACCGCATCAGTTGACCCCTTGAAAATACGAGACAAGATGACGCCATCCTGTGTGTAGGCTGGCAGGATCTGATAGCGTTGACCTCGGTGAAATTTAGATACTTGGACTGGTGTCACGCCCAGTGGTGACCATCTAGTCCGCCGGTACCCCACCCGTTTATCACATTCCGATTCATCAACAAAGACCAGGTGGTAAGAACGATATTCGGACAGTTTGTGCTGGTAGAAATCTCGTAGTTGAGTGTTCTGTTCCTTCGCTTTCTGTTGAGTTTTCTTTTTGGTCCAGCCAGCCCGCGTAAGCGCACGTTTGACGCTCGATGACGATGGCAATATGTTGAACTCATCCCATAAAAAAATGGCCATCTCATCAATATATAAACCGGGCTTTTCGGAGAGGTGATCACACAGGGCATCTAGCATCACAGAAGTGATGCTTGAGGGCTGGCCAGCAGGGACTGAGGGGGATCGGGGGCTGCCGAAGAGCCGCATATTCCTGCGTATGTTAGTGACAGAACGCTCACTACACTTAGCCACCTTGGCTATTTGTGAAATGGTGAGCCTCTTCCTGCTGCGTGTCATATGAACGATGGCTTTACGTTGCCAGGCTTCGAGATTTCGTGCCATTATGCAGCGGGCTGGGGTGTTGTTGGTGGTCGGGTTGGGACACTTGTTTTGGGGCGGCGTCGTGGTGGCTGTGGGGTATTCTGGAGCTGTAACAATACATACACAACTTCGTTAATCTCGTATTTTATCATTTGGCATTATACCATTCAACCTTGGAACGAGAACCTCAGATACAGCTATAACCACATCTGGATTAGGGTATCATGTGATCAAGATTTCAAAGACCTTTACTGGGTTCTCGATATGGGGAAGCTCTCATAACCTGATTATAGGATACGCTAATCCATATTTAGATAGTGTGTAAATTATCTGGTTCATACCGAACAAGGGAATAAATAACACGTGTTTTATGATACTAGGTACAGGAGTCTAGAAGCCTATGTGACTGGAAGATTCGATGCAAAACGAGTAAACATGGCCATCCTGGAACAGGCAATCTGTCAACAATTTTCCTTCTCCACTACAAAAATTGATTGGTTGTGAGAGCATTATCCCTCAGCCTCACCCGTCAACCCCGCTCCTCTCATGAACTCTGGCCTTCATTTCCAAGATCTGGTCTCCATAACATCTTTGTTTGTCTTTATTTCCCATGAACCCACAATAAGCTATTGAGTTTCAAAAGCCAATCATCATATATTCCATCATGGCAGCCAGAGCCTCTCTATCCCATAACGATTACACAGTCGGATGGATATGCGCTTTACCCCTGGAGATGGCAGCCGCAAAGCTCATGTTGGACGCAATACACCCGAGTCTACCTCGCCCACCGACGGATCAAAATACGTATATTTTGGGAAATATCGGGGATCACAACATCGTTATTGCCTGTTTACCAAGTGGCGCATATGGCAATGTATCAGCTGCAACGGTAGCGATGCAGTTGCTCTCGAGTTTCCACTCCGTCCGGTTCGGTCTGATGGTCGGTATCGGTGGAGGTGTACCAAGCAGCAACGCAGACATTCGACTCGGCGATATTGTGGTGAGCCAGCCAACGGACACATGTGGAGGCGTGATCCAATACGACCTCGGTAAAGCGTTAAGCGGCGGTCAATTCCAGCGAACAGGGATGCTTAACCGGCCACCCAAGGTCCTACTGACTGCCCTCGCTACACTCCAAGCCCACCACTTCACAGAAGATAGCCAAGTTCTTGAATTCATTTCTGAAGTCCGAGCGAAAATGACGCCGCGGATAGCTGCAAACTTCGCACGACCAACCAAAGAAGACCTCTTATACCAAACAGATTATGACCACGGAGCATCTGATACATGTATCGGTTGTGATCGGTCGAAATTGAACCCACGGCTTCCACGAGACCATAAAGAACCAGTGTTCCACTATGGACTGATTACATCTGCAAATCAGGTAGTGAAAGATGGTAGACGGCGAGATCAGCTAGCTCGAGACCTAGGGGTCCTCTGTGTGGAAATGGAAGCTGCGGGGCTCATGAATGACTTTCCATGTGTAGTTATTCGAGGCATTTGTGACTATGCGGACTCACACAAGAATAAAGAATGGCAAGGATATGCCGCAGCGGTGGCAGCGGCCTATGCTAAAGAGCTTGTCTTGGTGATTCCGATCGATCAGGTTGAAACCACTCCAACAGCACGGGACACTCTAGCAGACTCTGGTGAGAGGTCCTAAATTTCAATCCGTGGCACTCCTTACCTAGTTTGAATCAATGACTAAAGAAAGCTTTCCGTTTATAGTTCACCGCTTCAATGTTCCCCTAGACCTTACCGCAGTGCCTGTGATTGAAGGTTTCCTAGGACGGCAAGACGAGCTGAACAATCTATGGCAGTATTTACAACCGACAAATTCGCCATCACAGAAAGTTGCAATTCTTCACGGGCTTGGCGGAATGGGCAAGACGCAGCTAGCGATTCGCTTCGCGCGAGATCACAAAGATAATTTTACGGCTATCTTCTGGCTGAGTGGCAAGGATCGGGATACGGCCTTGCAATCGTTGAGCTTTGCCTTGAACCTATTACCAGAACAGTACTGGGACCGCGAGACGATCAGTGATGAGGACGTGGAGCAGCGAGCTAGGCATATGTTACGGTGGCTAGCATTGGATGGCAACACGCGCTGGCTAATCATTTTTGACAACATCGATCAATACTCCCCCTTCAATAGCGCTGTTGGTGATGGATATGACATTAAGGATTTTTTCCCTACAACAGACCATGGGTCCATCCTTATCACCTCTCGACTTCAGGGGATAACTGAGCTAGGGAAGCCTTTTCCGGTCCACAGACTTGGCTCTCATGATACGATCCAACTTCTTCTGCAAAGCAGCGGTCTGTCAGCCAAGAACACCACTAGCAAGCTTAAGAACAATCCGGGTACCAAGACACTTGATGAATAGATGTTATAAGATGTTACAGAACATGCTAACATATATAGCTATCCTTGCTCTCGCCAATCGTCTGGATGGACTGCCTTTGGCAATCGTTGTCGCTGGGGCATTTATGCGTGAAACTGGAACCAGCATCACTGAGTACTTGGAGTATTACCGAAATTCTTGGTACGAACTACAGTCGCAATCAAATCCTGGTCGACAGTACCAGCAAGGCAACGTGCTACAAACATGGATGATCTCATATCTTGAGATCCAGAAGCGGGACCCGAACGCAGCAGACCTTCTACTGCTACTTTCTCGTTTTGATAATCGTGATATCTGGTACGAGTTAGTGGAGAGTGGCCGTCATAGCTCAAGCGTCCCCGGCTGGCTCAAAAAGGCTATATCAAGCGGGCTCGCGTTCAAAATTAGTGTGAAGTCTCTCATCGGATTCTCCCTTCTTGACGCTAAGCAACAAGAAGGAAGCTATGCAATGCATCCAGTGGTACAAGACTGGTGCCTTCATATTGCCAGCGCAAACAAAAATGTGAATTCGATGAAGCTTACTGAACTAGCACTGATATCTGTTGGATACACTGTGCCTAGTGCAAGTGACAGACATTATTCAGAGCTTCAGCGACGGCTTGTTCCACACGCCAATTATGTACGTCATCAAGATTTGTCAGGTGACAATATTGCGTTATGGGGAGCATTCCATGGTTTGGGGGATCTTTACTCTGATCAGGGGAAGCTGAAGGAGGCAGAGGAGATGTACCAGCGAGCACTAGCGGGCTACGAGAAGGCCCTGGGGCCAGATCATACGTCGACTCTTGATACAGTCAACAACCTTGGTGCTCTCTATTTTCAGCAGGACAAGCTAAAGGAGGCAGAGGAGATGTACCAGCGAGCACTAGTAGGCTATGAGAAGGCCCTAGGTCCAGATCATACCTCTACTCTCACTACAGTCCACAATCTTGGTCTTCTCTACATTGATCAGGGCAAGCTAAAGAAGGCAGAGGAGATGTACCAGCGAGCACTAGCAGGCCAGGAGAACGCCCTGGGGCCAGATCATACGTCGACTCTTGATACAGTCAACAACCTTGGTGCTCTCTATTTTCAGCAGGACAAGCTGAAGGAGGCAAAGGAGATGTACCAGCGAGCACTAGCGGGCTACGAGAAGGCCCTAGGGCTAGATCATACATCTACTCTCAATACGGTTAACAACCTTGGTCGTCTCTACTCTGATCAGGGCAAGCTAAAGAAGGCAGAGGAGATGTACCAGCGAGCACTAGCAGGCTACGAGAAGGCCCTGGGGCCAGATCACGATTGGACTCGGCGGCTTGCAGCGACGTTGAACGTATTAAGCATTGCAACTGGATAATAGTGCGTAAAACTCCATAGGACATAATGACTTCATTCCGATATATTCTTAGCGGTGAGTTCACTACATACACGATGCTTACTACGCTTTGCCACCTTCGCTTTTTGAGATCTGGTTTGTCTGTCACTAATATTGTATCATATGAACTATGATCATTCACTGCCGGGGATCAAGCTTTCGGCCCATCGTTCGGTGGGTTAGAATGTTTGTGCGAGATGCAATAACGTGATTGTCGGTGTGGTACTGTAATCTTAGAACCGTAACAATACATGGCCAGTTACATTACTTAGTCTATTATACCATTCGGCCTTGTGACGGATTCTTGAATACCGGGTTAACCATATGCGGCTTAGCACCTCATGTGATTAGGGTTTGAAAAAGCTCCTCTGTGTTATCCGGCATGGAAGGCGAAAGCGGTCGTTACTGTATGATAGAGAGCCAGTCCTTCACTACATCTGAAATGGCCGAGCAGGCTGAATGCAACAAGCTAACCATTATTAATACCCGCAGAAACCTACGACAATTTGGAAGCATCTACGCCCCTCAAACCCGAGTAGGTCGGAAACGAACTATGACACCCCTAATGATTGAAGCCCTCTGTGATCATCTATGTGAGAAACCTGGCCTATACCTGGACGAGATGGCTGTATTCCTTTGGGATGAGTTTCAGACCATGGTTACAACCTCCAGCATTAGGAGGGCCCTTTGTCGCTAAGGGTTGGTCGAAAAAGACTGCACGGCAATGTGCGAGAGAGCAAAATGCTGATTTAAGAGATTACTATCTGCACAATCTTTCGGACTTCAAAACCTACCACCTCGTATATGTTGATGAATCTGGATGTGATAAACGAGTTGGGTTCAGACGGACAGGTTGGGCACCACTTGGCAAGGCCCCTTTGCAAGCGACGCAATTCCACCGTGACCAGAGATACCAAATATTGCCCGCGTACGCACAGGATGGGATTGTTCTCTCGCGCGTCTTCCGCGGTTCTACGGATGCCACCGTATTTGAAGACTTTATAGCCCAGTTACTTCACCATTGCGGAAGATGGCCAGAACCTAAATCTGTCCTTGTTATGGATAACGCGTCCTTTCACCGGTCGGAGCGACTTGCAAAATTGTGTGAAGACGCAGGGGTGAAGCTAATTTATCTGCCACCGTACTCGCCGGACCTGAACCCGATCGAGGAGTTTTTCGCTGAACTCAAAGGATTTATTCGGCGTAAATGGAATTACTACGACAAGGACCCCGAGAGAGGGTTTGCTGCCTTTCTTGAATGGTGTATCAGTGTAGTGGGTGCAAAGGAAGAGAGCGCTAAAGGCCATTTTCGGCACGCAGGGTTGACGATCGAACAAGTCTCAGGAAGTTGTTAGGCCCAAGCTAGGGTCAAGGTCCTCACAGAGTCAGCCTAGCCTACTCATTGAACCAAGGGTCGTCGAGAATCTGTCTCGCTGATGCTCTTGCCGACGGTTCAAAGCACAACAAGCTTCCAATGATTTCTCCCAGCCTCGTTATGTCCCCTCTTGTGAGATCAGGGGTCCTGCGGCCATCAAAATACACTTCTTCCAGCCATTCTTGCAGGTTAGGCCCGGAGCTTTCCGCGGTCACGTCGTCCCCTTTATTCATCGTATTCCATATCTCTTGCCATCTTTGAGGTAGATCGTCACTCGCCATCTCTTGCATTTGACCGATGAGAATTGGGGGTGTTATTAGGAAGGTGTCAAAAGGCGGCTGGCCTGTGAAAAGTTCAAAGAGCTGTCATAATCCACAATTTAGTCGTGTATAGCGCTGAGACTTCCATCACTTCACGTACCATGCAGCCCATACTCCACAAATCAACATGATAATCAATTTGATCCTGGAATAAAACTTCGGGTGCTCGAACTGATAAAGGTGTGTGCAGCGTGTGAGGAGCAGCAGTACATAAGAATGATTCTCCGAAGTCAATTATTTTGATCGACTGACTCGAGTTCCAAGAACGTATTCGATATGAGGTGGGCTTCACGATATACTCCGGCATGCCGAGCTCAAGGTCTTTCCCATCGTGCCTCTGGACACGGCCTATTTCAGGTTTTCCTAAAACTCAAAGAGAACGTCTTCGGACACCTTATCTAAGCAAGGCATGGTGAAGGCCAAATTGCGAGTGTGCAAATCTATTTTAGGTGAGAAGTGTTCCATTTTTGCCAAAGGGAATGAGTTACTGTACCTCCGTGTCCAATATTCCGTTGGTGCAAATCATTAAGCCCGGAAAGACTTTGCTTGGCAATGATTTTAGCAAGCTTTCCAGGGAGTCTCCCACCGGAAAAATGAGCATCAACTACGTCCGGAATGTTCGGCCCCAAAAGTTCATAAACGAGGCATTTGTGGAACCCATTTGGGCCCATTAGGCCGAAATCATCGAGCAACTGCACCACATGCGTCGGACTAGGGAGATGAGATGCCAATTCCTTCATAGTTTGGAGTTCTCGCGTCTCCCTATCATGTTCACGTTCTGCAACACAAACCTTCACAGCGACGTAAGTCTCTGTCCTGCAAGAGTATAGTTTGATTAGCTGAAACTACCGTGCGTTGTATTTGGTATGTGTTACCTTTGATCTCACGCCGCCCAAACTGTCGAGTAGCCACCCCATCCTAATTTATGTGACACCTTATACCTTCCAGCTTTAAGACATTCTCCTAAGGTGACTGGGTGGTAACCGCCTTGTCGGTAGCGATGAAGTGGCTCCGCATCAATGGGGGAAGTGTAGGTAGGCTGGTCCATCGGACACTTGTCGGCATTGGTAGACATGAGCTTGTGGAAAATGCAAGAGCTTCTCAAGTGAGCAATACGTCTCGGTAGAAAGCAGGTGGTGTTCTTCATACTGGACCGATATTGTCGGTACAGGTAATGTTCATATCGTCATGAGTCCAAAATATGTTCCACGCGCCCTGGACGCAGATGACGTGGCAAGAATAGCCAATCACATGATCTGAAAAGCAGCCTCAGACTTTCAAGCGGCAATTGATTGGTCAGCATCACACATGTCAATCAACGACGTGTCAGTATGAAACAGGCGCCTATGCACTCTTAAAGAAGCTGTCCTGGCCATTGGAGCACCATGCCAGAGCCTTGGAAAGCGCAAATATAGCGGCGCTAACATGGCCTATGCATATAACAGAAGAATGTATATAATGATGCCCTGATACTCGTGGGAGATGCTACTACGAGATTGGCACACTGATTTAATCCTACAAAACTTTTAAGCTCAGAGACCACCATGTCCCCCACTCCTCGGCATGCTGTTAAATTCATGGATTGCACGGATTGAAGATGAAAGTTAGAATGACAAGTGGTGTGGTAGTCTTTCCGCTTGCGGATGTGGTCAATGAGGTCCAGACAAGGTGAGGTCATCGATGGAAAGTGGTGTGGACTAATTTAGACTTTTGAAGTGTGGCGAGAAAAATGTAAAGTAATTGTCAGTCTCATGAGCAGTGAGAAGCTTATCTTACGTCGGAGTTGTGTAGCCCGAGCAAAACGTCGCCACCTGGTGAACTTATAAGAGAAGCAAAATTAATTTTTTGGAGCTTAGTCTTGTATATGCTCTAGAACAAGATTGCGCCTGACGGACCCTCGAGACAGGAATTTCCACGATTTTCGTTCTGCAGAAATTGATCCTCGTCAAGTGACTAGTAATGGGTCACGATCATTTCTATACCCTCGACTTCCATGGAGAGAGGGCGCCTTCGGGGGGATATCAGCGGGAAGGCACCACGGGCTATGTGTATAGTACTCAGCAACCCGGAACGGTCCCTATATTCCGCTGGTTCAACCCTCAGTCGGGTGATCACTTCTACACCGCCGACCCTAATGGTGAGTTGGCACGACCAACCTATCGTTTTGAAGGCATAGGCTGGTACATGTTTAGCTCCCCACCTGAGTTTGGCGACACTGTACCCCTCTATCGATGGTTTAATCCTTCGAGTGGGGATCATTTCTATACAACTCATCCAACTGGCGAGCTTGCGCCGCAAAGTGGATATCGCGCAGAAGGCGTCACGGGATACTTGCATCCTAACGAAGGCGCGCCACAAAGCGTACCGTTATATAGATGGTACCAGACCGGCCTTCTCTCGAACTTTCGTTTTTATCCATTTCGTCCTACTCAACATAATCCTGATTGGGTAATCAACGAAGTGCAACAAGAGATGTTACGTGAGCGCCATACATGGGCATATTATCGAATGAGTATATGCGACGGGCTCACAAATGATGAGAAATACCAACTGAACGAGGCATATCGCAATGGCTTTGTCCTCCATTACGCATCGCAGGATTCGGAGGTTGCCAGCTCATCGAGGGATGAACTGCATCTCAATTTCCACAAGCTCTTTACGCTGCCCGAGGACGAGGTTGCGCAGATACTTGCCCATCAAATGATGCATGTCGCTGGCTATAAACATCGAAAACGTCACGATCCGCCGGGACCATTTCCGGATGTTCCTGGCGATGGAGGCGGGTATTATGGTAGTACTCCGTTGAAAGCAGAGATGTGCATAGCAGGCAAGCAGAGTGATGTCATATGTTCTTCTGGTATCGAGTAGTAACCAAAATACGTACCTCCTGCGTTGCTGGATCTGCGACAAAAGCGTTATCTATTTTTCGTTTCGGTGGGTACCCGATGTTTTCGAGCTATTCTTGCTGTCGATGCTTTTATATTGGGCGTGAAGAGAGATGCGAACCCCCCGCGGAGAACCTAGTGGAATGATTTGTACACAAAGATTAATATTACCTTATGCCACTTTGCAACCCAAGAGTTTTTTCCATTCTAGCGGCTGCTATAGATACCATGAAATACGGTAGCCCCAGGAAGGTATGAAGAGTCGAAAGTGGCCCCGATATTGAGTTAACGCCGTTTCTCTCAGTAGGTGCTTGGACTTAATACCGTGTCTTGTTCCGTATCCTTCACTACCGCATTGTTGATGAGTGTGGAGATAGCGGACACAGCTTGGCGCTTCCTCCCTCTAGATCTTGTCTTCACTGAAGTGCGACTCCAACCCGGAAGGTCGCATGAATTGCCAGAATAACGGAACGGATCCCGGGGGAGACCTCAGTCTGCGGTGCTGCTAGTCGAATGAAGGCCGAAATTGACCGGTTGAAGGCTCATGTGGCGGCCCTCAAGGAGGAGAATGAGCCCATTCGGACAAACTATGTGCAAACCGCTGGCCACGACTCTGGTGGCCCCGCTTCAGCGTGGGTCATAGCTGGGCATCGCGATCATTAAGCATTCTTTTTGTGACAGAAGATTTACCTATCTTCTCCCCGTTCCGTCCAGCGGATGGAGAAGTGTCATCCTCTACGTAGTTGAAAGAGATCCTCAGCGTGAGTCTCTTGCCCCGACAGAAGTGACTCGACCACATCTGGAGCTGTTTCTCGATGGCAGTCCAAACGATGTCGGTCTTGTTGAAACACTTGGTCAGATCACGCTGAGAACGGTCGTTGACTGACACAACAATCGCGGTGTCATCAACCCTGACCCTTTTGTTGCGTGAGACCTTCTGTCCAAGGGACAGTCAGTAGCTTCTTTTCCAGAAATCTCTGCCGGTAAGCGCTTGGGGCCAAAACTAGGTCCTCTTCCTTGTCCTTTTCCACGGCCTTGTTGATGACGGTGACCCGCCATTCTATGAAGTAGTGAATACAGCTAGGTTGATCCTCATCGTAGATCTTGTCCTCCTCCCGCTCAGATTCCCAGAGCAGTGGTATAGCATTTGGTAGAGGTTGGCTTGCGGAACTGGGTTCATCGTCGAGGAAGGTGGATGGGAAGGGACTACAGTTCAACCGTGTAGTATAAGGGCTCCGGAAATATCCCGGCGTGGGAGGGGAATATTGAGAATCTTGTTCCCAAAATTCGAGCTCTTCGGCTTGAGAGGTATACACGCACAGTCAGCGTAATATGGGCTGTCGCTCATATTTACACACGATCGAAGTCCTCGAGATCTGCGTCAGCTTTTCCACACGTCAGCAACGAGTAGAAGCGGCAGTAGAAAGCAGGAACCATAGGCAACACCAACGAGAACCATATTGGCCTACCAGGGATAGTCCTCTACAGCAATAGCACAGCCTTTGTCATAGAAGATGCAAATGAAGATGAAGACAAAGGCTGTGTGGATGAAAAGGCCAGAAGGCAAGTTGGCGAGCGTGGATGAAGCCAGGTCCCCAGGGCAATGACCACTCCCCCTTTAGGGCCTAGAATGTTCTGTACAGATTTCCAGTATTTTACAGTGACCTCGAAACCCAATACATTCCAATACGTGATGCAACCGAGTCGCGACCGTTCCAACGTAAGTACTGTAAATAAGGCTTAGCGTATAGTCGGGTACCGGCCGAGAAACAAAGTCAGTGTGTCTAAGGGGTAAGTGTTTTCGAAATCGACTGCAGACATGTGGCCACTTAGCCATTGCTTTCAGCTTTCTCTGAAAACTACTTGCCCAATTTATGCCATCAATGAACGTCGGACACTGTTCAGAGAATCCAGAATTCTAATATTGTGAGGGTCGGTTATCACAAATCGTTCGTTACATCCATTGCGCTCGGGTGGTTGACCATGGTGCATGATTTTGCTGCATAGGGCTCAACTTCTTGCCATCAGATGGCACCTTAGCTTGTGTTGTCCAGGATTGCGGGCATAAAGAGGCAAGCGTTTGGGAAGATTCAACACCATATTAATTATATGTATATATATAGATATATATATATATAAGAAGACTGATACACCGTAAATTCTGCTATATAAAAATCTGACAATCTGGAGCTACTCTGTGCAATATTCGATGTTGTAAGCCCAAGCGCCGTGATGCCTTAATGACCATCTGCCCGGTTCAAACAATCTCATAAACAGGCACTGCTTTCTTCACCTTCTTTACCCATTTTGCGATGTTCTCTACGAACCGACGTGCGATGCCTATTTTTATTCCTCTCTCGATGAAAAAATTTGGGTCTTGGTCCTTGTACACTTGCTCGAGATCAAGGCCGTTCTCGAGCATCACATCGCACGTTTGTCGGAATGCGGCTTTGAGGGTATCCCTTTCGACAGTCGACACTAGCCATTCAGTGTGCTCCTCCACGGCTATGTCTGTGGAACCCGGGATCTCGAGGGGGCTCAGAGTCGTTAAGTCAACCGCCGCTTTAGAAGCAGAAACATCTATCCCGTGAACAGTAGACTGTGAGGGCAGGACATTAATATTAATGGGAGGATATGGTGCTCCAGTCCCATCGACGTGACTTCCTTTGCGCTTGCCTTTGCCGTGTCTCTCTTGCTCTTCCCTGTATAATTCGTCGCGTACGGCTTCAGGCACATCTTTATGACTTTCCAGAACCCCTCCCTTCTCAACGTGGGTGATAAGGCGTTTTATATGATGAGATTTGATTGGGTAGTGTTTTTCCCCCATTGGGTCCACCCAACAATGAGGGCCATGCTGACATGTCGACGAGTCGCATCGCATCAAATTATAGACGCTACGCCAGATTGGCTTCTCGCCAGAAGCATTTTCCTCTGCATCAAGCTGTGCATCTCGTTCGCTAAGCATCCTTTTTGTAACAGATGACTTTCCTCTCTTCTCTCATTTCCGACCAGCGGTTGGAGAAGAGTGGCGATCGTCTATGTAGTTGAAACTGATCTTCAGCATGAGCTCCTTACCCCGGAACAAAACATCAGACCACATCACAAGCTGTTTCTCGATAGCGGTCCAAATAATGTCGGTCTGGTCAAATCGTTTCGTCAGTTTGCGTTTGGTACGATCGCTTGTTAATACAGTGATGACAGTATCGTCAGCTGTCACCCGACGGTGGCGTGCAGTCTTCCGTCGAAGAACCTTCTCGAGTTTTTTCTCCAGGGAAAATTGCCAGAAGGAGCTAGGGGCCAAAGTAAGGTCTTCTTCCGTGTCCTGTGACACCTCCCTATTGTTGATTGTCACTCGCCACTCTATACGATAGTGGATACAGGTTGGCGGGTCCTCCTGATAGGATCTTCCTTCTTCCCACTCAGATAGCTGAATGAACCTAAGAGACTTGGACCCAGGTCTACTTGTTCGCTCGATTCCAGCCTCAAGTACGCTAGACGGGGAGGGGCTTGAGATAGATCGAGTGGCGTACGGGCTGCCGAGGTACCCGGGTGTCGGTGCGTATTCCCATTGTTCAGGCTCCGTAGGTTGGGATGTATAGTCGACATTATACGGGCTCTGTGTCATCTCTAACAAGCATTCGCAAACCTTGGATCATGCACATCAGCTTCTCATTAGAACCACGTTTCAACAGCGGGCAGGCAGCGAATGAAACTCGCAAAAGGTGACACAAGCCATGAAAATAGAGATGCATCTTTGCCTACCAGGGTTAGCTCTCTACAGCTTAAGCACAGCCTTCTGTGTTCTGACTGGCGGGTGGCTGCGTCGGATACGGGAAGGATGAGGGGCAAGAACGGGTGGGAGAGGCGAGAAGGCTGTGAGAAGGCTGGACGATCATGCCAGATCGCCTTAGCTCCCCCAAGCTTCTACGTGGTTCCATAAAACCTGACAGTATTATTACGATGACTCATGTGTCATGTAAGGCCATTACCATTAATGTTTTGCCAACCTTATAGAGCGGTAAGCTAAAGGAGGTTAGCGTATTTCGGATTTATTTTCCAGGAATTAAGTTGCAAGAGTGTGGAGGTATAACTGATTTCGAAAACCACTGTATTGAGCCAGCCTCTTATGAAGAATATCTAAAAACAGTTCATCCTACTTTGTGGACATAAGGCCTGTGGAACATAGAAAGAAAAAGCTCAGCAGGGTATTTACTTTGAGCATTGGATTAAGTGACATTTTTCGAAGCTAATATCGTACGCGGAAACTATCACCACTTATATTCCTTACAATATTTTCTAGAGAGGTACCTTTCCCTTGATCATTAAGTTACATATTCGCCAAGTTACAGATGGAAGAACTCGGTTCCCAACTTTAATTGGACTGAAAGCTTTGAGTCCATAGCCTCTAGATGATGGTAACGGTCCTTATTGCGCATCGAATTTTTGTCATGCCTCATGCATTGAAGTGACGCTCGAGGTCTGGCACCACGTTGATCTGTTCAGGGCCACCTTCTGGTCCGGTTTCTTCGAAATCCTCACGCCTGTATTGATGTTCTCTCTCAACTTCCTCGCAGAATACCTAAGTCGGCAATGATGTGGCCTGGTTTTTCAATTCAATAGCCACGTAAATTAAGAGGAATTTATTTGAAGATTTGAGTCAGCTAATCATTTGCTGTAGTCTAATGTTCTAATTACTTCAAAAAGCTTGGGTGGCAATTCCTCAACATATATTTTTTCTAATAGTTTGAAAGAACATGCCTTGGAGTTGTTGGGAACAAAATCATCCACGATATGGAGAGTGTCTCAAGATCGTCCCGGCGTGTCAAGCAGTGACACAAAAGAATTTCTGCGCTATCCTCGTCAAAGAGAGTCACATTCGCGCCAAGCACTGCCCCGTCCTGCCTCGCGCAGAGCCTCAGCCAATATCCCCCTCTGGCTCACCTTCTAATCCACCAAGGAGAAATTCATTGTTCTTTGCAGTTCTAAGTATATATAGACATTCTGTCCATCCGCCGACTGCACTTGACTCTTCATCTAGCCAAAGGCCTCTCCCACGGACTTATCGCCGCCGGTCAGTATAGCACTTTTCTCTGCTTTTTTCCAGTCCAGACAAACCAATTTCTCATTAAGTCAGCTCACCATGGGGTGCGGCTTTTCCAAACACAAAGTCGTCAAAGGGGACCACGAGGAAGCCGTAAATTCCTGAACGATACGCGACTTTGACCCTCAAGCTCTGAACAACGAAAATTTCAATGCTAGATCTTCTGCGGGCTTGGACTTTCGGGGTTTTTTCCGAAACGAGTACTGATGATGACACCCTACCGGGTTATGCGGAGTATCCGCCTTTGGTGGAGGCCATCCTAGGTGCCCTGAAGGCGGCCAATAACTATGTTGACAATACCATTTCCAGCGATGCTCTCAGGAGTGCGGTCAATGTCTTACAAAGCCGGCATCATCATGTGTGAATCGACAACAACCACAGACTACCACACGCTACGAAGGATAGCATTATATTAGTTGCGACACTGTTGCTATGTCTAGGGAAAGCCTAAAACTGCAATATGGATAAAATCTTCTTCACGGGGTTTAGCAACCAAGTCAGCAAAAAGCTCTCAGAATCGAAGAAGAGCAGGGCTGAAGCGCTAGAGTCATTATGGAAGACAGAAAACCGGGAAGATGCCATCAGACTAATAGGACAGAATGAAGAGCTAAGAGACCCTGATCTGAAGCTCGATCAGTGGCTCACCCAAGACTCATTCTGCACTCAATATGCCGCCAGCACTAACGCAACTGGACGAGTGAAGGATGATGAAAAACATGCCTTGCTGCTAGGCCATATCCGGGAGCTCAAGAAACTGTACTGGGCTGGTTGGCACCAGCGAGACCTGAAACCCGAAGACGTTAAGGGCCTCTACACTAAATTGGTAGCCGCGCCCAGATAACAACCCAAGATTCTCAACAACGCTTATTTCACAATCAAGAGGGAGATCGCAGTCCAAAAACGACTCTACGAAACGCATAATGCGAAGCCCACTACGGTTGTTCCCCTATTGGGATCACCATTGTTGAATATTGAGAGGGAAGCCATAAAAATGGACTAGAGTAAGGTTACGGGTGGTGCGGCCGAGCTTTAGATTGAGATGGTGCTTTCTGCGAGTACTCAAGAATCACGCCAAAATCGGTAATAGCGCTCATGGCGATAGAGATATCTACAATGTGACGGAACTCAGGGAGCCAAACTTCCTAACTTCACTATTGAGCGCGAAGACTTGGTTGGAAATTTGAACAGCCACGCACGGTCGATTGATAGCTTGGAATTTAAGAAGAAGACAAGTATGGCATGAACAAAATTACTGTTCCCGGGCAGTCCATGACACTGCCTTCGGTCAGTCCGGATGATGAAAAAACTCGGGCTCGAGAATGATTACTGGGTACGTTGTGGGCCTGCAGTACAACGCAAATTTTCTTATGTACCTTACCGAGCTACTCGGATAGATTACAATGTGCTATTATTATACTCTTGTACCTCTTCTCTCTTGTACGATATATTGATTTGATTCTTGAAAGAGAGGGACCAGAGGCCAACATGTTTCTTAGATAGATGAAAATACACTTCTGTTTACTATGTCATATAGTGCTTTTTTCATGTATCAACAGTCCCAGGTTATGATCGATTTGACAGTAGTCCTCTAAGTTTGAGTCACGACTGTGAGGAATCATTGGGCCTATGTCATAGCGGGAATCTCGTAAAAAGTGTTAGACGAATTTGATGCGACTCCAATTGAGCTAGCTTGTAATTCTACTTGCGGTTGACAGGTATTAACTAATTTTGACAGGGATTCAACTAATTTAAAGGTGATTCAATCTGCATCATTGGCCAGGCCCGATCTTAGCCATTTGCAGACAGACAGACCCTAATCCTGAGGTGAGAGAATCAAAACAATTAACCTGCCGACGACGAGGTGCGACAGAAACATACACTCGGACGTCACAAGGTGTATTGTCTGCCGTCCTGATTGGCTAGACAAGTAGCTAGAATCACCTTAACCGGTCCAATTTGCGTTTCTGGTCATAAACTTAAGTATAGTGGCGACCGCCTTCGCCTTGCATCTTGGAAACATAGAGAGACGCTTTCAAACCCTATCACATCACATAATAATCCAGATATGGATAATCTATAAATAACTCGTTTTGTCCCTAACGTCGTAACTAATACCAATCCTCAAAATACCGTAGAAGGGGTCTAGAAGGGGATGACTAGAACTTCTAGCCTAGAAGGTTCGATGCAAATCAATCAAACGTTGCGGCCTTAGATCAGGAAACCTGACAACTGTCTCCCTCTCTTAGTTGCATTACTGCAGATATCCTACTATAGTGCTTTGATGTGATAACAGCCATCCGTAGTCAAGCTGACAGGCAAGGCTAACTATAAGACATGCGTAACATTTTCCGCTGCCCATTATCATGTGCGGGACTCATTGTACATTCGAGATCCATGGCTAACTGCTCCCACTTCGATTTCCTTAGGAGCCCGCTTGCCCAACGATCGATCCTCGCAATGCCCAATAGTCTTTGCACAATGACGCCGATCCATCCCGGGTCGTCGATGAGAATTCCCAATATGTCCCCATTCCCGGCTTCTTTGGTCATACGCCCAGTATACTTTCTCCCGGTCCTGCTCCGTAGAGTGTCACGGATCAAGTGCCATCCGAGCAGCTAGATTCCATTCCATTTGCCGAGTGGGATGAAGATGTCGAATATAACGAGAAGCCTCCGAAATATATCTGCTACACCATTGCATGGAAGCTGATGTTCAACCGCACGCATGTGTCTCATCAAGAAGATAAAGCGCCACCGTCCCAAGTCACAACTACGTCAAAATATTGGGACGACGAAGAAGAAGTATGGATCCCTTCACTGCCCTGGGCCTGGCGAGTAACGCTGTCCAGTTTCTTTCATTCAGGACCGAGTTGCTAAAGGCAGCTCGAGCAATTCATCGAACCACTTCCACAGGCGCATCAGAGGTTCTGACACTCGAAAAAAGTCTACGGCGACCTGAAAAATATCAATTCGGAGCTTCTCTCTGGGTACCCCAATTAAAACAGTTATCTCAACGGCCCCGGCAGCCAGCCCGATCAACAAAACACCTCATTCAGCACACTTATACTCTCATGTCAAACGGATTGTGAGAAGCTTCTGGATATTGTGGAGAAGTTGAAGATGCAGGATGGATCAAAAGGCCACTGGCAAAACTTTCGCACAGCGCTGAAAGTATTTTGGGCAAAGGACGAGATTGATGAGCTAGAAAACCGACTTATAAGAGCTCAAACGTCAATTATATACCATATCTGTGTCCTAGCGCGGTATGTTTGGTTTTTGGTGATTGGTTTGATGACCTGCGAGGATGGTTAACTGAGACTTTCTCGCAGACAAGGCCAGCGCGATCACACGCGACGAATTGAACAGCTTCGGACAGACAGTCAGAATATGAATTTTGACCAGTCAGACAAACCTGGATCAATTGCTCGTTATAATCACAAAATATCAGGCGGAGATTGAAAACATACGACATGCATGTATGGTCTCACCGAAAGGCATTGATTCTCTCAAGCAACATTTGTCAAAGATGGATTTGACTCAGAAGGAAATGCAGTATGAGCAAATGATCATCGAGAGTTTGGGTTTTGAGATGCGCACTTCTCGTCATAGTTCGATTCCAGACGCGTTTAAGAGAACTTTCAGATGGGTTCATGATCCTCCTGAGGGTGCACCAGCTTCCGCAAGGTTAATATCGGAGTGGCTGAGAATGCGAGATGGCATGTTCTGGGTTTCTGGAAAGCCAGGCTCCGGAAAGTCAACGTTCATGAAATTTCTTGCGGATGACCCTGTTACCGAGGCCATGCTGTTGGACTGGTCAGGGTCGAAAAAGTTGATTACAGCTAGTTATTATTTCTGGAGTACTGGAACGGCAATCCAAAAGTCTCAGCAGGGTTTCCATCGTGCATTACTTTATGAGACCTTCCAACAATGCCCCGAGGCTATACTCCCTGCATCAAAAGGCCTTCGACCGAACCTAAGAGGGAACAAGGGACCTAATGAATGGAGTCTTAAAAGTCTTCACGAAATGCTCATGAAGGCTACAGACTGGGGTGCGAGCTGTGTGAGATTCTGTTTCTTCATCGACGGCCTAGATGAGCTAGGTGATGACCAGTTCGAGCTGTGTCAGTTTTTGAAAGAGGTTGCCACATTTCCTAGTATCAAGATATGTGTCTCAAGTCGACCGTGGAACGTTTTTGAGGAAGCATTTGGAGGTGAACCGCGACGAAAACTCTATATGCAAGACCTGACGCGAAATGATATCCTTGAATATACACGATCACATATTTACGGGCACCCGAGATGGCCCTCATTGGAGGCAGCCAAGTTTCACAGCGATGACCTAATCGAGGAAATTGAGGAGCGCGCGAGTGGTGTTTTTCTTTGGGTCTATCTTGTGGTCAAAATGCTGAGAGAAGGTCTCACGAATAGAGACAGTTTCTTGGACATTCGTCGGCGTCTTGAGAGTTTCCCTGTGGAGCTTGAAGTATTCTTCCGACAGATACTAGAATCAGTGGAGCCCTTTTACCACTGCAAAATGTCAACCACTATGCAGATAGCCCTTGCCGCAGAAGAGCCTCTGGAGGCAGTTGCCTATTATTTCCATGACCAAGAGTATGAGGATGAGAACTTTTGTTTCTCTGTTCCCTCGCAGCTATATTCATCAGCGCAAAAAGCCGATTTTGAGGAAACAATGAAATGGAGATTGACTAATCGGTCTCGTGGGTTACTGGAGATCAATTCCAATTCGGGTACTGTGACATTCTTACACCGAACTGTGGTTGACTTTTTAAGAACGCAGGAGATGTCAACATTTCTCAGTGAAAAAGAACCCCAGTTGTTTAATCTAGTTTTGTCTCTTCTCAGACTCTTTACCTCAACGATCAAACAGACTGCGCCTAGTCACGAACGTCATCATAGCTGTGGTGCTTATGACAGCGATGGGCGATTACAGTTTTTTACCTCAAGTGCCTTGCGCTGCATTCAAGAGCTACAGCCCACTATGACCGATGTCACTATTGTCCATCACATAATAGATGATCTTGATAGTGGAATCTTGGAGTTCTCCACCGGCAACTCTCTTTAGAGGACTCGCAAGAAGCCAAGGGGTACTTTCGCGAACAAGTGATTAGATGGCAGTTACTGGGATATCTAGTTTGGAAAATGCCACAGATGCCAAATTATCTCCAGGCATTGAAGCCCACACTAGTTCCTTCTGTTCTGGGCCAAGAAGAATCGAACGGCGAGTTCACGTTTGACCAAGAATGGTCAGGCTGCGCTCTAGATATTCTCGATCTAATTTTAGATACCAAGAAGTGGAGCTAAATGCTGTCATTGCCTTTGGTGACGACGGGCAGAAACGGACACCCTGGACTCTCCTGATCAAGCACATCACGTCATGGACTAACCAGATGAACCCGAGATCTGAACGGCATTTTTGGGATTTACTCGAAAGTGGAATCTTGTCAAAGCTTCTTCACAAAGGGGGCGACCCAAACGATTTCGTGTTGCGTGATGCTTTATGGCACCATTCTGCTGTTGGCGCATACCTTGATATTGCATTCGACATTGAGTCAGATACAGAAAAGGAATCTCACTATCTTGGGTACTTCGTGAATTTCTTTGTGCTGGGGCTATCACAACCGAGAGCTCCAGCCGGTCCCTGACTATATCCCTGCACACCCCCGAGTGGTTTGTACCAGCTCATATCGTCTTTTTCAGTCGACTACGGGAGCTTCATAACCTTGATCCGGTCAACTACAATTTCTGTTTATTAGGTGAAGTTGTGGACATGCTCCTAGGCGCAGGAATGAATTCGAATGATACGTGGGAGATTGAGAGAGATATACAGGAATGGGGGAAGTATTCCCCTCTCAAATTTATGAGACTCTTAAAGCCAGACCTACTGCAGTAATATGGACAGATGATGAGGCAGGCTGAGCAAAGGGAACTGCATGTGAATGATCACCTATCGAAGAGAGGAGCCATTTGGATCCCGAAAGCTGGAAGACGTTTCTAATTTAACTTTGTATATACTAATTCAAATGCTCTTTCCAGTATGACCTTGCCAAGTCTTCTATCCGTTTTGTATTGTACCATTTGTTTTTGGAACGAAGCCTTAAATATCCATATCTGGATTAGCGTATCATGTGATTAGGGTTTGAAAGCGTCTCTGTGTTTGTAAGATGGAAGGCGAAGGCGTCGCCACTATACCGATTGGCAGATGGAGCTGATCTATATTATAAATCTTGCCTATGGTCTCAGGTGGGCTTAGCTTTGGGGACAAAAATACAATGGATGATAATGTAACCCTTTGGGATAATGAACAATTGACTATTTAATCGGAAATAGTAAATATTCGAATGGAAAAAAACGATGGGAACGTAACTGTAACGGCACCCTGAAACTAACTATAATCTGCCCCCTCGAGAAACCCTAGGCACATATAAATAAATATGTCCATAGTTGCAGATAAGGCAATAGCAAGAAAATAAATCCCATATATAATACAGTGACATTTTCCCGTAGTACGGAGATTGACCATGTGGACATAACCTTCCACATATTCCAATAATGATCTCTCCTGCTCGAAGTTTTGATTCGAGTAATACTTGACTCCCAGTCTTTCAACACTTTACCAACAACGACAATCTGGCCATCCTCGAGGTCATAGAACTTCGCGGTTTCGAGGGCGAAATCGATACTTGCTCCCTTTTCAAGCAGGTATAAAGCCGCTTCTTTGTTGGAGTAAAGTACTGTAGCGAAAAGAGGAGCTCCCCATTCGCAGCATGCAATATCGAGACAGGCACCTTGGGCTATAAGTAACTTCACCTGTTGAAGATCCTGGCAGATTATGGCCCTCATCAAAGGGTTATTCATGCTAAAACCATTCACATTGGCCTTATTTCTTAGCAAGAAATCCACCATTTCATGTTGATTATAGTCAATCGCGGCTATAAGAGGGCATCCGTTTACGGATGACTGTAGATTCACCGAGGCACCGGCTTTCAATAGGGTTTCGGCGATTTCAATACTACCGCCACGAGCAGCATCTACCAAGGCAGGGCCATAGCAATCATCTCGATCATTGACGACGTCACCTAGGTAATCCACGCGTGCTTGATTCTGGAGTAGCGCATCGACTAGATCTTTGTCACTGCCCCTGGCAGCGATACAGAGCGCCTTGTGAACCTCTATACCTTGATATTCGACGTTTATAAGCCGCTTCAACAACTCCTTCACCACCTCGCTGAAGCCCTTGTTCCATGCAATATCGAGGAGGGTTTCATATTTTCCATCGTACATTATCTTTGCATATAGGCTCGCAGTATGAAGCAAGTTAACTTCCTCAGCATTATCTCTCATACATGCTGACAAAAGTGCCTCAGCGTCAGAATACGCGTCGTCATTTTTGTCAACCTCATGGTAATTTTTGAGCAGTTCGTTCGGCCAATGTAGGATCGCTAGTGGCACCTCCCGAAATCTGGTGGTCTGATTAATGTGGGTTGTAAAACTGGCTACGGAATTTCTGGCCGAGTAAGTCGTCATTAGTAATTGAGGACTTCATGTCGAATATGATATGTGACAGAGGTGTGGAATTCACTAAGCTTATTCAATCCAGTGTATTTATACTAGATATGAGATCTATTTTGAGAGCTAGGTGTCTCCGCTATTATTTGAAATATGCCAGATTAGGAATCAATATTTCAATTTGGTTCAGTTGAATTATGTCTATAAATGGCCAATCGATTTATTTATGTTCATAAAGAATAGTCGGCCGACCAATACCCCCACGGTGATACCAATAGTCTTGGGTAGCCTGTTCTTTCACAATATGATAATCTGAATGCTTGCTTCTAATCCTTCTATCGTTTTTGTTGGTATATATTCCAGCCTGTAGGGCATACTTTGTGTAAGCCAACCTTTTGAGGCTTTTACGTTGTGTGGGCTACCTAGGTCAACTTGATTGTTGACGGTATTGCTTTTGTGCCAGTCACACAGTCCGGTACTACAGTCATTCTCGAAATTGTCATGACTAATACAATCTTAGTAATGAAACTTTCCTGGCAACTGCCAAGGTCTTCGCCTAGAAGATTGATTGGGCTGCTCGCGTTGGATTGAGGGCCACTGTCCTTTGTAAGTTATCAGGAGTTTTCGCAATGCGTGAGAGAATTGGATGGAATCCTATGGAAGTCGACATTTGGGTCTTCCGCAAAACAGTTCGCACACAATCTAGGAGACTTACGTTCCTTTTCGGCCTACCCATATTCCCATTGCCAGCCGCTACACCGTGGGGTATTCTCATCGGTTGATGGAAGATCGCAGAAGCGGGCGACTTCATGCGACAAGAGCCCGCAAAATCCGACGTAGGCCATCTTGATTAGGTGTCTCGTCAAAGGCAACCCCCTTCAAGAAATATTCGTAGAAAGGTTTCAATCCACTACAAAGTTCCTCGATCATCATGGTGGACTTCTTCTCTAATATAAGATCACTAGCCCTAGGGGGAAGTGCTGCCAAGGGAGTTGTCCACGAAAAGGGTACATCAGAACGTAGTCCAGTGATTCCATGTCATCGCGGCGCGACAACGTGTTACCACGATGACCGTTGGCACTGACGGATACAGGCGACCCTACCATTCTAGATGTCTGCCGAGGAATGATGTGGCAGAGGCGATCCCACGCGGCAACTCTCATACATGCATGATCTTACGTACTGCCTCGCTTCTTAATCATCAAATTTGTTATATTCAAGTCTATCTATGGAGCAATGAGCGGTTGTATCCGTCATGCGCAGTTCGGGACCCGATGGTCCTCAAAGCGCCCCTCGTCGAAGCACAACATACATCCGGCGAAGGCCATGTTATATATCACGGTGGACAGTATTATGCCGGTCACTTGTACTATTGGATCCGGTACATGGCTCGTATATCATGTCTTTCATCTTGGAACAGGCCCGGAAGCATGACTGAGTTGATAATATCAAAGAGCAGCTTCACCATCGCACATTAAGGCCCGTGAGAGATGGTGCTGAATGAGTTCTGACTGTTGAGCATCAAGAATAACGCTTTGCGTAATTCAGTAATATGAAGTGTGCCTCGGATTTGGAAGGAATAAATCCCCAGCTGCGAAGTACTAACCGCTCTTTGCATAACTTAGGTTTATACCCAATTTGGATGGCTCAAGAAGCCCTTGTTGGCAGAGAGGGTGGTTAGTACTAGCGGCCTATAAGCCATGAGATTTTGAACATACAAGCACGCCTGTTGATTGGAGTATTTCCATAATACGCCGCGCAGATTCTCCTATCTCGTCTATCAAGCTATGGAGACTCATTGTAGATCCGGTGATGCTTTGGTATCCAGTGAATTTTGTCTCTATAGCGGAATCACAGTGTGGTATGTGAAAAAGGGTACCCTGCAGCCGTAAAAATTCGCGAAATGCCGTTTCCAGGTCAGGGGTAGTTTGGAGAGCGTCGCAACAGCTGGACTCATTCATACGGATAAAGTCCCTGAGTTTTGCGCAAATTTCGCGCGATTCTTTCAGCGTATAATTCTCATCTAGTCTCTGCGGGTAGTTCTCTTCAATCTCCGGGCCTGACGACCGACAGAACTTTTCTAGTGAATTTAAGGTACTGCGACATAATGCAACCTGAGCGGCCATCATGCATATAATGCTCCTTGGTCTCTCGCCGCGGAACATCTGCTTTATCTTCGAAGTAATATGTGATTTTCCACAATGGTTTATTTTTGTCAACCCTTGGAAAGGATGCCGAGTCAACGACTGACATATAGGGCCAATTTGGGCCCAATGAGATTCCTATTTCGGTACAGCACAACAAGGTAAAGCGCTCTGGAATTTGCTGCGGCTCAGTCGATAGATGCAGACAAAAGAGATTTTGCTAAATTTGGCCTATGGCTTGATTCATAGTAGATCACAGGGATGATTGACCTGGTGAGCTGGCTACTGTTATAGAGAGCAATATTGCGATATTGTGTTTGCACGTATATTCCAGGAAGCAATATATCATACAGAAGCTCATGTTGGCTCAATTCCTGCTACATACAATAGCGACCGCTTTCGCCTTCCATGTTGGACAACACAGAGGAACTGTTTCAAACCCTAGTCACATGCCATGCTAAGCCGAATATGGTTAACCTCGTATTGAAGGATCGCCGAATGGTATAATACCAAACGAAGCAAAGACGAAATGCCAAAGTATTGTTACAGCTCTAAGATTGTAGTACCACACTGACCGTCACGTCATTGCACTCTCACACAACATCCTAACTAACCGGAAGATAGCATGACGTCCCATCGCCTTTTATTTACCTTTGTAATTCGGCCATAAAGGAACTACGAAGCGACTCATCTGCATAGGGGAGCATAAGGCGATCAGTAAGGCGGGCTACATATCTTTAGTGCAGGACTATATTGTCAGAACAAGCTAAAACTGTATGGACTAGTATGCGTTTAGGACGAATGAGATCAAGCGGAACCAATTCAGGATAAAAAGAATGATTGATTAATTAGAAAACATGCGGTCGAGGGCAGGTTGAAATACCCTCGGAAAGTGACCATACTCGGTGGTTATTATACCGAGATTGCCATTTGAAATAGTTTACCATACAAAACATAAGGAAATGTGGGTTCCTGGGTAACCAATCGCTTGCTAGTGGTAAGATACCACTCCATGCTCTGACATATATTCATCAATTGCCCAAAACATGCAGCCGATCTATTGGGATAAATACACAAAAGTTGATGGCTCTCCAGATTCGATCCATTAAATAGGATTAGAAAACGATGCGGGAATTATCGGTACAGTATCATGCATATTAACTTAGTTAATTTTGTAGGGGATTGCTCAGGGCCCCACAAATCTTTACATAACTTAGCCAAAATTTGCTGTCCAATTTTGCAACTAAATTATATTATAAAATCGTGGTGTTCTCCTCGCCAGCCAGTGTTCGTGCTCGCTGGAACAACTCGACTGTCTCCTTTATGTACCTTGCCCTGACGTCTGTAGAGACTACCAAGGTTGTGGACTATCTGGAGAGTGGACGTAGGATCTGGACCTAATGCCTTCTCCTCGCCTACTAGTGCTCGCTGTTACATCACCTCTGCCTCTCTTCAGCTTGCCATGATCAGAGTAGAGATTCTCAAGGTTGTTGACTGTATTGAGAGTAGACGGTAATACTCCCGCCAAAGATACTGGCATCGTAGTACGCGACCAGCCAGATCCCTCTAGGAAAAACCACGCTTTAACATTATTAATTGACAGTATGTAATGGTTTACGAGCCCAGCGCTACCAGCTGTCTCAAATGCACAGTAAAAGTAATACAAAGTTGGAATCTGTTTGTTGCTATAGTCGAGCTAGCATGTGATGCTACAGTACTTGCAACAGCCATGTTTTGAGGTGCACAACTTTCAGATGGGCCACCAGGCTCCCAGGAACCGCGAGATAGCCAAGTCACGTCCAGACCTTTCGTCCGAAATAATTTCGTCTGGTCACTGAACAGAGCAGTGAGTGAGCAAAGATGAGCGGATGATTTTCTTCCATCACATTTCCGCGGTCTCAAGTTCCGACCAGATAGCCGACAAGGCGCTTACGACGTGTCACCGCATAACCCCCCACCTTGGTTCTAGAGATATATGCTGGTAATTTTCGCTCTTTTTGCACTCTATGAAGGCATCTCATGGGCTAAGTGAGCATTGCAAGCAAATACTATCACGTGTAATTCCTATATTCTGGTCTTGATTTCCTAAGACCTATCTTTCAACATGATGATACTACATAGCCATGTCAGCATCGAACGGACCTGTTACTGGAATCGAAGCAGCAGTTCAGCTTCAATGTCAGACACAGACTGGGAGCGAAGCTGACTATGGTTTCGAATTCCTGAAGCTCCGAAGCAAAATCACACGACAGACATACATTGCAAGACTCAAGAGACCTCATCACAAATAGAATAGTCACCTATTTTCGAACTCATCACAAAACCCCAGATGACCTGTCACTTTCAGAAGTGAGTCACCACACGTGTAACGAATCAAGACCGATCAGTATCCTGGAAAAAGCAATAACGAAGGTTAAAGGAAATTGGCGAAACAATACATTACCGCGATCCGTTATAACACATTAAGTTGTGGGCATTGCACAGGAGCTGGAGACAAAGGGGTTATTAAGATAGTTGAACGTGAAATGGCCGAGTAATCTGGGAGAGAAAAGGCATGTGCAATCTTCAAGTTAACATTGCCGATACTTGATTATTCAGGAACCTGCCACAGCCGCATTGTGCTGAACAAAGTGGACCGTGCTGAACAAAGTGAACGTGTGTTTTTGGCCGGGCGGCTTTGACCGGTCGTACTTTTGTCCACGGAAAGAGAAAACCGAATTTTTCGTGTTTCGAGGAGCGGAACCTTGAACCTCCCTTGGAAGAGCCAAACTTCGGTACTTGACCTTGGTGTTAGCCGGTGACAAGAAGCAATGCGTTTCTCCAATTCGAATAGCATGTTGGGGCAGGCCCAACAACCCTCAAGGGTGATGTCAGAAGCAATGCAGGTCCAGTCGCCTACGGCAGAGGCCAAAGGGCACAGGCCGGAAGGAGAAGGTGGTATTGAGACCCAATTGACATGTTAAGGCAGATTGGCTGACCTGCTATTGGCATAGCGTTTAAGCACTTTTATCAAAATCTCACCTTTCAATCTATCTTGAGTCGTTAGGATCCGCCTGAGAATTCCGAAGCTGAGATAAGGAGAATGCGGGGGGTACTTACGCTCGCTGGGAATAATTATGACGAACGCTTTCCGGCAAATGAATTCGTTCCAGATAGCTTGATCCGGAACTATGTCCCATATCTCCGGTCTCAATCAACACCAGTACCAGAAGTTGGTGGCTCGTCCGGTTGCTGGAAAGCGTTCGTCATAATTATTCCCAGCGAGCGTAAGTACCTCCCGCATTCTCCTTATCTCAGCTTCGGAATTCTCAGGCGGATCCTAACGACTCAAGATAGATTGAAAGGTGAGATTTTGATAAAAGTGCTTAAACGCTATGCCAATAGAGACGGCACCTGAGATATTGCTCTCGGGCTCATAACCTGTTCTTGTCAGAGGTCCCTCCCATAACGAAGTTCCCAGTAACTCAATTGAAAGTATAATTCAGACCTTTAGATCAGCTACATGAATGGGCTATCTATGATATGAAGCTGGTCTGGTCAGGAACCACTGATTACAGGACTGGCTTTCTATTATATCACAGATCAGATGAAGGCCCGAAAGTAAAGAGCCTAGGAGCCACGTCCTTTTGCCTGATCTTGGACTCTGGGATATGTTGAAGAGATGTCTGTTTTTCTATGGGATGAATTCAACATATTGCCATCGTCATCAAGCGTCAAGCGTGCTCTTGCTCGGGCCGGCTAGACAGAAAAGAAATCCCAGCAGAAAGCGAAGGAACAGAACCCTTAACTACGAGATTTCTACCAGCATGAACTATCCAAGTTTCGTTCGTACCATCTGGTCTTTGTTGATGAATCGGGATGTGATAAACGAGTGGGATACCGGCGGACTGGCTGGTCACCGCTGGGCGTGACACCAGTCCAAGTGTCCAAGTTTCACCAGGGTCAACGCTACCATATCAAACGTCTTCAATGCACAGAAAATTTGTTCAGTTGGTCCATTGTGGAGCCAGCCACAGTTGAGTGGTTGGGGGAGGGGGTGGTTAAGACCGGATTCAATCCAGCGCAGCCGAGACATTCAACATCAGTCTGGTTAAATCCGCTTGATCTCATAACAGTAGCCCACTCAATTATGTCGCGTAGAAATCGACGAGTTGTTCCAATTTGGACCCCCCGCTGAACGAAGAAGCCAGAGTCTGGGTCCTCAAGAATTAGTTCCAGATCTACGTGATTTTCCAAAGTCACTTGGCATATTTTCCGAAAATCGACTTTGTACGCCTCGTCGGTGGCGCGCGATTCCAACCAATTGCAGTATTCCCTTACAGCGGCTTCGCGGGGCCCGGGAAAAACGAGGTGCTCGTCGGATGAAAGCCTACATAGAGATGAAGTAATCGTAGGGGTGATCCCATTTCATGCGGGTAGAACATTAATGATGGTCGGAGGATATGGTGGCCCGGTTGTCAACATGTCAGTCTTTTTCGATTTCCTTCCGTCTGACTTTCCAGAACAGGCCTCGACGGATATCACTAGGGGAAATCATCATGACTGTCTAGGTTGCCACCACCGTCAACATAGTCAATCAGTCGTTCTACATGTGAAGCCCGCATTTTAGAGTGTTTCTTGTCCCTGGTATCCTCCCAGCATAAATCAGATTTGAGTGGGCATGAACGAACATCACATATCATAAGGTCATAAACAAGATCCTATGTAGCGGGTCGTCCGGTGGCTTTCTCTTCATGATTAACGAGCCTCCCGCGCTCTGCTACCATTCTGCTAGTTGCTGATACACAGCCTCTCTTTTCGACTTCTTTTGATACAGGCAAAGAAGGACCATCGTCATCGGCCCTGTAATTGAAGACAACCTCGATTGTGAGGATTTTTCACACACGAACCAAATTGCTCCATTTACTTAGCTGCTTTTCCACTGATTTCCAGTCGATAATAGAACGGAAAATCGTTCGAGGTTCTTCTGGCACCGGAAGTTCGCTTTGACGGTAACAGCCGTGCCTTCAGATCGACCTCGCTGGCTACTTTTCTTCTTCATTTGCAGCATTGCTTCAACGCTATGTACTTCTCGTCAAGCAACACGCAAACTTGACGATGCATAGGGTCATTTTACGGCCATCCAGGATGAGCGACGAGACTCGCCGTCATTCGTCCCCCTAAGGCCAGATTGGACAGACACTGGCGAAGAAAGATTCGGCAGACCTTTCCAACTACGAAGACTTGGTGAGATTTCTACCTCGAGGACCTATATAGGGCTTTCTGTATAGGCTTAGTGGTATAGTCGTGCAGTCCCCGCGACTCGTCAAAATTTTCCCAGTCTTCACTTTGGGCACCACTTATAGCATGCTTTGCGCGAACATACTCTAAATACCTGCCGGGTATTGTATAAGCCAATATGGTATGAGTGGTGAAAGACACGACTTACATCCACTTTAATGCCTGCTAATGTACTACCCTGTTAGAGCTCGCCTCCAACATCGGCGTGCCATCGCTGGCAAACTGCAAGCTTCACACCTCGTTGCTTGAAATTCTTACAGGAGAAAAACCTGTCAAATACTCTTCCAAATAACATGGGCCGTTGTTTCTCGGCCGCAGCCGAAAGCGTAGCTCAAGTCTACTTGATGGGCTACCACCATCCGAGACAATCTATCATTCCTTTTCATGATTTACTGGAGGCCTAGAAACAGATTGAATTTGCTGAAAAGACTCAATCTATGGATCCGACTGGATTTCTGGCGCGAACTTCTAGAAGCCCCAGCCTGTTTTTATATCCGCCCTATGTCCACTAATATAGTCCTCAAATGCGACCTTGCTAGCAGATTTAAGCTTGTCCAAAGCCATGGTTACCTCCCACAGGAGGTCGGCTCCAAAGGAAGGATAATCTTGGGTATCCTAGGAAAAGTTATGGTCCTGAACCCAAAGATATAATTCCACCGAGGCCGCAGCCAAAATGCGACGGACCGGGTGATTTTGAGGTAGAAGCGCGGCCGCGGCAACGTGTTTTTGAGAGAGGCAAGTAGGTGTTGGTATCCACATGTCTCGAGAAATAGTTGGACTGAGGGTTGGGATTGTCAATGAGGATCTGTCTGATATACCAAGCCATCTGGGACTCCAATCCGCTCACGTTGCATATGTCAGCTAGCCCACGAGCTCAATGGCCCCTGATATCTGAGCCTCGGGATTCTTTATATTGAATATCACCATACGGAGATACAACCATTGAATCAGGGCTTCCAGGTTCTGTTTCGAGACAATGCCATCCTCCCCTTTGAAAATCACTGTCTGCTGATGGGAATCTAGATACTGGTCCTCGAAGATCGCCGAGAAATATGACGACTCTACGCAGACCAGATCTTTCGAGATAGTATACTCGTCTTTGCTTGATTCAATGTTAATATTCACGTGAGGACCACAATAGAGCGGGAGAATCTTAGAGCTGTGTTCTATTAGACATGTCAACTTGCAGTAGCAACAATTCACTTACATTATTACAAAATCATTCGCACTCTTCTTGGATAGCTCAGTCATTCCGCGAGGTGGGATCTGTAATCAGGGGGAGGGCAAGGAGAAGACGTGTGCTAGGCGACCCAGCCTTAAGATGGGAAGCGATATAGTCAAGCCAAAATGTAGGAGAACACCCAGTGGTTTAGATCCGAGATGCATTGCGTGAGTGTGCTGGGAGATGCACTTAATCTCGACCAGTCGACAAATACATAACGTGATGCCAGTCAACATAGACAAGGGATGGCGGGTATGACACTGTCTCTTTCTATTGGGAGACTACCTGAAGCTTCTGACAGATGAAGACGACACTTGCATCATGTTTGCTGGATTTTTAACTTTCCTCGGCCATGACCCGCCACGAGATAATTGAAATGTGTCAATGAAAGTTGCTGCATATAAAAAGCCAGACGTAGTAACTAGATTATACCTCTGCGGACCTTGCATTGAATCAAGCTGTTAGCCCGATGCGCTTCATCACCGGGCTTTGGGTATGGCTTTCAGATAGGTGCGTCTTTCTGGTATTAATCTGCAACCTCCAGCTTCTTATCTTCTTATTTTCAGTTATTTACATCATGAAGCAAACCCACTCATGATAGATACGGACGTCCGTATAGACCATTTGATAGAAGAATCGATACAACCTCCCCCGTACTCCAGATTCCAGGACCACTGGGCATACAGCCTACGATGCATGAATTGCGGGAAACATCGTTCCCGCTCCTATCGCCGGTGGCACGAGTTGAATCCGTCCAAATTTCCTCGAGATGGGCTTTGCTCACGCCCACATTGTATCTTGTCACGGCCGTCATCGTATCACGCTCTCTATGACCTCCCTGCTGAGTTGCCTCCATAGATTATAATGTTTCCATTCCTTCTTCTTTGTTTTGACCATGATCAACATTGGTCAAAGTAAGACAACTTGCCAATATAACATGCAGCAACAAGCGCACTAAAACAGAAGTATAAGAGGAAATCGCCCTTCGAATCGGAACTATTGCATCCTCAAGACTTGAACATATTGAAACGGCTGGAATCACACCGTCAGAACAAGCGGGATATCTCTCATTCGTACCGTTGGTAGTACATATATATGGTGCAATGTCCTCTCTAGCTTTTGTATTCCTCCGTACTCTGTGCCAGGCTCTGAGGCTAGGGTGTCCGCTCATAGCTGAGTATGCTTTGATGGTGTGTGATAGATATGACATGCCTTAATAGCCTTGACTCTTACATACTCAGGTCAATTCGCAATAATACTGTTATTGTACAGTCATGTTAAGTAAATATTGTGTATTATTCAAGTGGCCATCATCGTAGTACTACCCGTGAGCACTTTCAAGTAAAATGAGCCTTCGGAGACCGGTTCTTTTGAATTTAGTTTCCGCAGACTGGAATTGCGGTCCAAGGATATACTTAAGAGCTCCATTAAAGAAAAGCCAGGCTTTAAATGGAAACCAGACAGCAGATCCCAAAATCCTTTCCCCTCAGCAACTCGCGTCTTGGCTCATACATCGACGTTTTTTGCAACCGTCGGCTAAAGGAGAGCCACTGCGTTTACGAGTAACCGGTTGAACTCTACATGGCGGACACTGCAGGTAGATCAGCTGCGTAAGTGATAGCGGAGCCCCGCTGATTGGGTGGGATGTTATTCCGTCAAGGGTAAGACCTATTTCAATAGGCACATCTAGAGTGCTAACGTAAATTGTGCAGTATAAAGGGCTTTTGTAGTGATGCGTCAGGGTATTCACAATAAAGGATGCATGCTCCAATTTCTCACCGAGCGACCGACAAATGTCCTTATCTTCAGGCCATCGGGAAAGAACCGCCAACCGGGCACGGTACTGTCCTAGCCGGGAGTCAAAAGTTGGTGCTGATCGCAAAGCAGTGTAGAAACAAGACGCAAGCATTGCAAGCTGTAATCGATGAGTACTTTTCCGGGCATTTGGGGAGTCCATGTAACGTTCCGTTTCCGTGGCTAGGTCTTGAAGCACGGCTGGATCATCCAGGGCAATTGGTAATTTTCTAAACGAAGGCTCCACGCGATAATGTTTGCCGTTCTTTTCGGCCTTATGGAGAGTGTTTGAGAACTTCCCATACATAGAGTCTGCGTCCACTGCCCTGCTCAAGCAACAACCCAATCTCGGAACCCATTCCGGGATGAGATACTTCAACCAGTTTCGTGAATGGCTCTTGTCGGGACTCAAGAATTGACCCGTACCAAAGCTTACAGAAAAATCTAGTAGACGGCTTCCTAGCATAGAAAGCTCGTTTAGCTCCATCATTGCCACCCAAGTGGGACAATTGGCAACGAAAACCCCATCCTGAAGTCCATTCACTGGCTCAAATATCAGTGGGGCGGCGCAGCTGGTGGCAATCCTATGTAGAAGGCAGAAATGTCAGCTCATCAGGTTTTGAAACTAAGTGTGGCCAAAATGACCAAGATAGTGGAAAACGCACGCTTGCCACAAAGGCAGTTCGAAAAGCTGCTGTGGTATGTGATCCCCGCTCTCAGCCTCGCGAAGTACATCCCCATAGGAGCGGAACAAGCAAAGTCTCGAGTCAAAAGTTGTCGATGTGATAGCTACGCGCACGACATCTTGCTTTGCTTCTATGATGCCCTCTCGCATCAAACCTTCACCAAAAACGTCCTTAAGTATGTTACAGAATACATTAATGTCATACTGTGCCCCAACCCTGTGGAGGCGGAGCAATCTCCTCACTAGGGCTATCATTCCACTTTTTTTGCCGAAGATGTCGTTTGCGGTGGAGCAAAACACCTCGATGCAGTACGACAATGGCCATTGCATCAGACCAAGCGCAGCGCTAATGATTGAGCCTGTCCATGATAAATGTAAGCTGGCCGTAAGTTTAAGAAAGTGGTTCGAATATCGTACCTGTACTTGTGCCGACTATCAGATCAAAGTAGTGATGAGCTGATAGTGCCTTCGGAAGACCCTCGGCAATACTTTGAAGAGCGATGAGCGAAACTATTCCTAGGACTCCCCCTCCATCAAAGCTGGCGACTCGATACCCGGCTTGTAATGGACGGAGCCGGACCTTCAAGTCCACTGGCGCGCCGCATGCCGGGCAGGCGCTGAAATGAGCTAGAGTTGGATATTCAGCATCATCGGGCTGGATCCCAGAATAATGCCATGCATCGCGCTCGCATATGCCATGGCCACAGGGGAACAAAAGCCAAGGCTGCATGTCCCATGGGCACATGCAGCACAATGATTCCCCTCTGACTTTTCGCAGCCCTATTTGCGCGTCACGCCAAAGATCCGGATTCTGCGGTCTCATTCGTGAAACCACTGCATCCAGAAAGCTTGTGAGACCCTTGCGGGCTATCCAGCCACAATCCCGAGAGGCATAGCACCATGCTTCGCTACACAACGGTCCGTATATGCTAGCGAAGAGCTCTGTATGAAGGAACCCTAAATATACCAGCATGATCTGGTGAGCTCGGAGTAGACATTCCTTGTAGGGTGTTACATACCATGCGGAAGAAGGTCCCCATCCTCCAGAAACATTCTTGCGAAGATCGGGGCTAAAGACACATTCAAGTCGATATCCTGGTCAGTGGCCCGGAGCCACTTTGCTAGGCCGTTCTGTTCCTGAATATCTTTACCAGGCCAGAACCGCCTTCTAAACGCCATTGGATACCACGTTGCCCCTGGCAATAGGGTGGCAATCCTCGGCGGGTTCTGATGACAGGCTACGAATGGTAGTTTTGCAGTGAGGTATTGCTCCAGTAGGTAGTTGATCTCCCCAAGGGTCCATAGGTGCCTTCTTTCACTGCGCATTTTCCTCATCGCCGTGGTGCATCCTTGGATGGCCGCCAGAAGCTCCGATAAATTGGTTCTTTTCGGGTCATAAGATCGCACGATCAAATGCTGGAACACTCGCGAAGTCCATTGAGAAGAACTTCCTTCTTTCTCAATCAAAGCATCAAGATATTTTTTTACGTCCGTTTCATCTACTTTAGTTCGCGGTGAATTTGTTTCAAGAAGGATGATCCACTGCAGCTCGGTTTGGGCTCTATCGGACTCGATACTTTCTCTAAATCTTAGCACGCTGTGAGCAGCCTCATCCACGGTTCGTGCTCTAATACATATAACGTCGCTGAACTCCAGACATAGCTGATGAAAGAATTTGGTAGTGAGCTCTGGGTTCACAGAAAAAGACCGCTTGGCATAAAGTGATGTTGGCTCGGGACTATTGGCCAGAGATAGTTGCAAAAAGTTGCATAGGGTATTTTCGCCTCGGACATCATGCAGTGATGTGTAAAGGCCAGGACCGTAGGCCTGTGGCTGTTCGTAGCCAAGGATGGTTAAGCGGGCTGGCTGGGACTTCAACAGCACGCTCTCAGTGTAGGGCTCATACAACTGAACTAGAGTGTTCAAGCTGTCCACATGGCAGTTTGGAAGGACGGCCCATGGTAAGATGGGAGGGGCCATCAAGTGTCAGCCAGAATGCTATCGGGAATTCTCTAGCTCTGAAAGTTGACATGACACTCACTTCATATGTTCTTTCCTGTAGCCTTCTGGCCCAAAAAGGCGTCTGCATTTCACTCCCATTATCACGCTTATAAATGACACTGTGGAGAGAAAGGACTGGGCTCATTTCTCTCAGAAAGGCGTGTCAAAGATGGTGCGCCTGTGTTGAGTCAAATTTGAGGGTGGTAAGGCGACGGTAAGGTTTCTGCCGGTGGCACATTTTCATCAATTTAGTTACATCCAGTACTTGCGCGAGGATTCCGTAGAAGAGTCAAATTTAGTCGCATACTTCCTCGCGCAATAGGGACACAGACGCTACAAAAGAGAAGAAGTAAAATCTCCTAGAATGCCAGCGGTCTCGAAAACCATGTACCACGACAACACCCCCTTTCTTTGTGCACGGATCGAGCTCCAACTGTGCTTCCAACCAAGCCTTTTCTGGTACGACCTCTAACAGTCGAGTCAATCAACAGCATATTTCTCTACCATCCACTAAGAAGCCAAACATTTTAAGTTTACAGAGTACTTCCGGCGTCTAATTACACGCTGCTGTAGACAGAAGTGCCCCTAAAGATATATACTTGCTAATGCAACAGTAAAATTATTAGACCGTATAATAGCCATCACACTTAAAACCTCCTCGTGATTCTTTAATTACTCCTCCTCTCACAAAGTGATCAAAATCTACAAGTTATGAGAATTCGGACTGACCATTCTGGATGGGACAAAGAGAGTACATTGTGGCTCTTTTCACGGCAAAGGGTACCGATCTTAATTGAACGGCATATATTTGTCGGTCAATACACTGTGGTTTTATTTTGCGGTTTGCTCTTTTGGTCATGGGTTCCGGAGCGGTTGACGTTAAGGTGACAAATAAGGAGCCAAATGTGGCCACAAGTCAGACTTGCCCTCAACTGATATTGTCTACTCTTGACAACATATTCTAGGAATGATTGGGTGGCGAGCGGATCCGTCAAAAGGCTGGCTAATCTGGAGTTCCTTGGTAAGACTCAAAGTTAGACGAACCACCAAAAGTTACTCTCGGTAGGCGTCGATTTTTTTTTCTTTTTTCTTTTTTACAATATTATTAAGTTTCGTATTGGTGTTGCATACAGTAGAATTCGAAAACAGTTTACCCCTAAAGGACACACACTTTGTTTCTTGGCTCGTACCCGACTCAGGTATAGTCTCTATTTAGAAAAGCGGTAAATTAACCTCCACTATAGTCTACTGTTGGTTACAGCTAAACCACACTAAGATAAGTCCCGTCTCGGGTACAGGCCGACAGACAAAGCGTGTGTCCCTGAGGGGTAAACTTTTTTCGAATTCTACTGTATAGTAGGTGTCAATGACTTATTTTTCCTGTCCTTCTGCGATTTTCTAATCTAATTTTAAAAGAAGGGCTTGAGAGAGGAGATGAGTCTATACGATGCATGTAGGGCGCAGTTGAACGAAGACGCGCCGTCTGCCTTGGCATACTTTTCGGAGGCCCTCACCGTGTGGTGAGGGCTATACGGGCACTGAGCAAATCAAATGGCATCTTTGTAGACTAATCAAGACGACAGAAAGATGGGCCAAGCCTAAAATCTACCTCGTTGCGCAGCGTGTATGCAAGAGACGCACGCTTTCTGGCAATGATTGGAAGTGCCGAGCGGCCCAGGGCAAGGGCTGCCCCCCTGACCGGAATGGATATTCCGGGAGGTCTATTCGTCGGGACTCATTTGGTCTATAAAATATAAGTCTTGTCCGCGGTATACCCAGCTCAGTCTGGCTGTCAAATGATACCAATTTTCCTCATTTCGCCTTGTTCATCTCTGCGTCTTTCGTCTCAGGGTCCGAGGTCATGCCGGTAATCCTTAATAATATACAACTCTACCATGGCCCTTCAAAGCCTGCAAAACCACCATATTTTGCTTTTAACAGCAACCAGAGCGGTTATAAAACCATGATATCGGGTGGGCAACCTGCATTCACCAAACCGGCCTCCTCGCCGACAGATGACTCCACAATGGCCACGACTTGGTTCCTTTCTCCGGCTGCCAATGCAGTAGATACGACGCATCAACACGCAGTTGGACCGGCTAATTTGTTTGACATTGAACTGGCGAGGCCCTGGGGGTGGCAACGCCATCGTCAAGCCCACGGGGTGGTTGCGACAGAGATGCCTGTTTTTCGCGCGACAAGTCCGACTATCACCACCAAGATAGCTCAGACAAAAAAATGCCCATTGATTGTAAGTTTAAGGTTTGAGCTGTTTTGCATTCCAATTAACTAATCTATTTTGAATATAGTTCCGTCCTCGTTCTCCGTAAATTCAAGAAAACGCATGGGGTTGGACGTTTCGGGCTTCTTCCCGAGATCCCAATCAAGTTGCACGAGTCCTCCACCGCCTAATCATTCCCCTTCTATCGCGGTGCGTTCACCAGTTTCTGCAAACTCGTCTTCTGGGACTAGGCAATTGCGTATGGTGGAAGATATTGAGCGGAAACAAAATCAGCCTTCATATTGTGCCGACTCTGAATCTGTCTGTCCAGCTCACACATGGGGCAAAGAACAAAAGCAACGTTCCGTGAGACCCGGAACTAATACCCAGTGGCAGAGAACGAAAGAGCCAATGGCTCTACTTTGTTTCTATGTCGTCACATTGCCAATACACGGTCTTAGTCTTGTTGCTCATTTGTTCTATCTTTCATAGTTGACAAAGCCATCTGGTCCTAGAAAAACCGAAACGCCCTTTCTTTCGCTTGATTTCACTATGCTAAAGTCTTTACCCCTCTGGCGAAGATTTCTCTCCTGTTCATCAGTTATAATGACATGAGTTCCAGTCAGGTATGGAATGGTCTGGTGCGCACTGATCGACTGACGTGCTCTTAGGGCAGCTTCATAATTTGTGTGGTTATAGCGATCGGTTTGAGTGATTTCAAAACACAATCTGCCTGGTATATGTTGATGTATTTCTGGAGGTGCTTGAGAAAGAGCTTCCTTCTAGATTAGATCGCCCGGTTGTACGTAGTAACATAGACCGCGCACACACTTCCTTCCAAAAATGGCCTTTATCTCTATTTGAAATGAGTAGGTTTAAGCGAAGGGCAATCCAAACATGGATCATTGGCCTTTGTAAAATTCCAGTATACTTGTATCTCATGGCATTTGCAGCATGCCAATATCCCTCGGGTTTAGCAAGAAGATTTCAACAGAACACATGTACGTGACTTGATACGGAATGAGACTTTGCTAGCTTGTCCTAAAACAGGTGACATACATTTTTTCCATCCTTCTTTGATTAGCATACTGGTCAGGCTTTTCACACTGCACCATATCGACCTCGTTGGCTATTCGCTGCCAAATAATGCGGCGCAGCTCCATAAGCTAGCTAGTGGGCCGAAAGGCAGCCGCCATGAGCACACAGTTGCTTCAATAGTCCGATGTTGTTTCTATCCAGTGCAACGTCAAGGGGTAGTTTTCGCTGCGGGTCAGTTATGCGGTTTGCCAAGGCGTCATACTCGAGGAGAACACGTAAAGTACCGAGGTCGCCCTTCATCAGACCGGCATAAGCCCGTGGAACATGTTGGAGACGCCTGGTTGGGCCCCTCTGTTTAGAAAGAATCGGGCTATGTCGAGCGACCGTCCGTTTATTGCAAGCATCAGTGGATTGATGCAGTACCACACTACTAGACCTCTGCATAGCCCACAAATGGGCCCATACCCCCGGCCCAAAGCCCAACCCATAGTGGGCTATGGGCACAATATTCAAAGCCCAACCCAACCCACAGCCCATTAATGGGGGCCCATAAGGCCCCCATCAAAGCCCATTTCTACGCACAAATACAGTCTTGGCATGCATAAAGTAGCTGATTAATAGCTGTATTTTACGCAAGTTCCAGCCTGTATATTCAGTATTATTATATTATCACCATCAGAAGTACAATATTGTAGGAATTGAGTAGTTATTATACTGAATTCAACATCATGATGCCAGATTTCATACAAAATCACCCAAAAAAGATCCAATTTGACCATGAATTCATACTATTATAGCGTACTGAGTATCAGCATGAAGAGATATATATATTATCTAGATTAAACTAGGTGCATCTTTCTGTTGAAGTATAAAACCAAGTATCAAATTCATGTTTTGTAGGTTTACATGACTGAATTTTATACTGACAGATACCTATCTCTCCTTCTTTATTTCTGCTTTTATAGATAGGTGATATTATAGCTGATCTCGAGGTAATAGAGGTTTAAAAATATATCCTAAGCCATCGGGTGAAATTTTTTGGATCATAATATTGCGAAATGGACCGGGAAATGGGCTGGGAATGGGCTTTTGATGGGCTAAGCCCACTTAATATGCACGATGCAGCCAATCATATACGAGTATTATAATCATACATTTCAATTCTGACTAGCACTATGATGAATCCTCTGTTTATTGCATCAATTTGCTGTTTAATGCTACTATCAAGATTCAAGAAGTGGCCTTTTGTAATGTATGACCTTGAAGCTACCCCCCTAAAGCCCTATATCCTTCCTACTATACATTTCATACTATACATCTTCATCATTGAATCAATCTTCATTATTGAATCGTCAACTGATCATGTCGCAAAGCCAGCAAACCGAGTTTGGATCATCTCAGTTCGACCCATTTGAACCTGACCTCGATACTATATCATTTACTACCTCTCATCAGGCATCCAGCAGCTACCACCGTAGTGGTTCATCGTTTCTTCAGCCGTCTGTTCCTTCGTCAATTGCCTTAGAAGCAGAACACTTTTAGTGCTTTCAACGAGTTGGTCCTGGTAGAATAGGCACTTATTTTCTTTTCGACGCGATGAATCACAGCAATTGGGTTGATTGGTGGTTACAGACCGACTATGGATCTACCAACACGATGATTCCATGGCACTCCCAGCATGGTTCTGCTTCGGAGACTTGGAAACAGTATGAACAAGTGGCGCATGTAGTTTCTGGGAGCCCGAAGGTGATGTGCAAGCGTTGCGGTCTTATCCTTGAGCATCCTTATGGCACTAAGAAACAAACTGGCAACGGTAAGAGTATTGAAAAGGTCAACCGTCATGGTACAACGACTATCACTCGTCATCTGGAAACTGCAGCTTGTAAAAAAGCTACAGGGATACGGAAGGAAAAGGGGGTAATGAGAGGGTTTATTCAATCAGTATATACAGTCCTATCCTTCTTTCATACTACTTACTTATATCAATATCAATATAGGGTCATACCGAAGCGGAAGCATCTTTCTCGCAAGAGGACTGGAACGATTAACTCCTACAATTCATTACCATCAACCGACTCCCATTCCGACTTGTCGAAAACCCATCCTTTCGTCTCTTGATTTCGCAATCACAGTTAGCCCCAAGCCCTTTCTAAACCCCAAGCCCCGGCACGCTAACCCTACCGGCCACAAGACCAAATATGACTGACTGGCTAGCTGTATGGAAATTAGCTTTGAGAAATCCAAACGATTAGTACTGCTCTCAAGAATTTAGGAACTATATAACCAGCCTGTCACATGTAAAAACTGAAACTCTAATATTTCATATTATGTCACCTCATCTAGCCCTTCCATATGCAATTTGCTCGCCTTAGTTTCGCGCTTTTCATTCTGTCATCGGTGTGGGCAGGTGCCGACAACTGTTGGTACAGTTTTGGCTCCGATTCTGGAGTTTTGACATATTCGTGCCAGGACTTCGACAACGGAGGTGTTGTTTACACGTCTTCCTTAAACCAGAGTGATTGTCTTCGAAATGATGACGGCGAGCTTTTGTTCCAGAATGGGTAAGTTCCAGATCATTCTTCTTCTCTGTTGCCTTGTGCAGAATGACCAAACTATTAACGTTGAATATGAAGCGGAGGAGCTGCCTGCACAAATTGCTTCGAGCAAGCTGGTGGAGTTGAGGATATTGATGGGGCGGTATATAAAGGGAACTCGAGGCCTTTAAACTGTATTAAATGCTCGTGTCCCACTGAATCCGGCGAGACTAAGGCAGCGTCAATTGAAAGGAGTATGTAAAAACATGAAGGATTTATATTCTAGATCTGGATGGACAAAAGTATGCATTGAAGCTTTTCCACGACAACGGCGACCCTGGATATACCGAAAAAGGCCGTGATTTGAACCGATTCCGCTGCGAATTAAATGCATATAAGAAGCTTCTGACTTCTGGTGTCTGTGCGCGCGGTTTCGTTCCAAAATTATACGGCTACATCAATCGAATGGATCCCGCAGCATTCCGCCCTGCTTTCCAACATTTCGCCCAAGACAAGTTAAAGCCGAGGGCAATATTGCTAGAATATCTCCCTAATTCAGAGAGTTTAAACTGCGTGAACTACTCGGACGCGCTCTATCCCCAGGCAATTGAGGGCATGAAGGAGATACACAAGGCGGGTGTTCACCACCACGACACCTACCCCAGAAACCTTCTCCTTGTCCGTGAAAACCCCGATAGGCTGGTATGGATTGACTTTGATGTTGCAACGACCTTCACCAACTTTGGATGTGAACAACTGTCTCGCTGTGACTATGAAGTTGCGCTTGTGAAGGGATTCGGGGAAGCACTGGTATGGGCTCCATTGCTGCCTATGTTGAAAGCATTTTGTGTGCTGACTGACGAATATAGAGAGATGACCAGGCCGAGGGACTCCCCCCGAATACGAAATTCTATTAAGAGTTCAATAGGCGTGTAAGTATTTTGACAATGCTTGATCGCGTTTATGCGATTTTGTAACAGATAGGAGTTGGGGCGGAGTTTCGAGCAAGGGATGTTTTACTTCATTTTACTCCATTATAGTAATTATGGAATCAACATTCATATCCTCTCGAGGCCAATTGGATCCTGTCTTAGCTACACTGTCTTAGCTGCAATCCTTGTCCAAACAAATATCATCGTTGAGAGGAGAGTCTTCTGACAACACTGTATCTTATCTGATCACATGCGCTCCGAACATAGGATAGCATATAGCATATTTGAAAAATAATACAAGAAGGTTTTGACTCACATGTTAGTGCTGGAGAATAAACATATATATAATTTCAAACTGTATTGTAGCGTCAATCAGGCAGTAGAAAAGCATTCTTAGGCGGACGGTTCATGAGTCGCACTGAATTCGAATGGTGTTACCATCCTTCTCGCTTTCCTATGCTTTGATGAGATCCCTCGATTCCAGCTCTCCCATTCCAGGATTTCTTGCTCTGCCCGCTTGAGCAAGCAAGCTTGATTTTCAGCGTGCTGCTCTAATCTGAGAACATTCAATTCCAGCCCTTCAATCTGATCTTCTAAACATTGAGTCGATGTTCCACTCATCGATATCCTGCGGGTGAGTTTGCGGGTGACATCAATCATAAAGTCACCCCCTTCTGCTATAAGAGCTCTCAGACTCTCCTCTGATAGTATGGTGTATTTGAGCGCCACATATTGAGAAAGTAGTTCCCGAGCTGGATCATTTAATTTCGATTTCGGTGTTGAATCATAAACGAGGCGTATGGCTTGTGTAAGACCCAGGAAGAACGGGTCCGTTGGTGTCTCACATTTGAGGAGAAGCTGCGTCAGGCGCTGTAAAGCCAGATTCTCGAGTCTGGAGAACAAAAACTGGTGGGCAAAGCAGTAAACCTTGGCGTGTATAAGAGCGATGTCACCAGCCCCTCATCACAAGCATATCGACATGGAAACACTGGAAACGATCAACCCATTTACGTTAGCCCCGTGGGAGGAACGCATGCAGACCGATATTGATCAACCGCAGGATCTCCAGACCAGACCAGGCGTGTACATGCAGATCGCGGTCAGCAGCTCGGCTCGGAACAAGCTGGTCGGATTCGGGGTGGCGATCGAGAAACAGCCACCTCGGTATCGAAAACTGAAACTGAAGACGCTTTCCGTCACATTGGGTGCAAGAGCAGAGCAAAATCCGTTCTCTGCGGAGCTAGCAGCGATGGCACATGCACTGAACATGGTAGTTGGAGTGAAAGATTACCGGATTACGCTGGTCACGAGCAACAAAGCGGCGGCTCTGACAATAAGGAATCCTCGGCAACAGTCAGGTCAGGAATTCGTCTCCCAACTGTACAAGTTGATGAGAAAACTGAGGAGAAATGGAAACCACATCAATGTCCGGTGGATCTCAACGAGTGAAGACAATAAACTGCGGGGTCTGGCCAAGGAACAGGCCAGAGCCGCGACACAAGAAGATGCTGTCCCGCAAAAGCAGGTCCCAAGGATGAAGTCAACAACACTCAATATTGCACGGTCCCAAGCAGTCCCCAGCAATGACCTGCCAGCTAATATAGGGAAACACGCAAAACGAGTTGATACAGCACTCCCAGGCAAACACACCAGGCAGCTGTACGACCGATTATCGTGGAAAGAAGCGAGCGTGCTGGCTCAACTCCGAACCGGCATGGCAAGACTCAATGGATATCTCTATCGAATCAACGTGGCAGACACGGACCAGTGTGCATGTGGACAAGCGAGAGAGACCGTGGAGCACTTCCTATTTCGATGTCAAAAATGGACGGCGCACCGGACGGAACTACTACAATGTACCAACACCCACCGAGGGAATATATCCTTCTTCCTAGGAGGAAAGTCGCCTTCCGATGATCAGAAGTGGACGCCGAACTTAGAGGCGGTACGGGCCTCAATACGATTTGCCATCGCCACGGGCCGACTTGAGGCCACCTAACCATGCCGACGAACATAAATCACCCCCTTTCGCCGATCTAACCCACCAACCACCTCATGTTACAGATGGTAGACGCGCTTCAACTGCCGAAAATAGGATGTTGAACACTTGGAGAAGCGCCTTCAAGCCAGCCTACTAACAAAATTACTAACCCACGAAGATCCGCTGCGATACGGACATCTGAGATGACATATATTGCAAGGCTTCATGTATGGGCTCGGAGGAGACACAGTACTATATATATTATGACATGTATAGTAGATCAGAGATAGTTGCCCTTTCGGCTTAGCCGCCGGGCGTTAATAAATTGTGTGTGTGTGTGTAGATGATTATTTTAGTGCATTTAATTTAATGGCGTTTTGGTTGAGATATGCATTTAAAAACTATACATTGGGGGGGGCTCCTCGCTTACCGAATACGTTAGTAATTCCATCTAGCTACCAGGCACAACCTCCCTCAGCCTTGGGAAGTTCCTCAACCTTGGGGGAGCTAGACTGAGACTTGATACCCTTCTGCATAGCCTCCAAGTGCTCAAACCTGTAGGTATCCTCTCCCAAACTCCAAGCCATGACACCACCAAGGTTCTTCTCCGCGACGATTTCCTTGAACTTTCGGGCAATCATTTCGGGGGTATCCCAGGTCCAGAAGAAATTGTTCTCGCTGTCGAAGTAGTATTGGCCACCGCCCTTCTCGTCGGTCTTGCCATCCTTCTGGGCCTTGCGCCATGAGTCAGTGATGGAGATACCCTTGCAGGCACCGTAGTCAGAGAGACATCCAGCCTGGCAGAACTCGTCGGTAGTACCACTGCGCAAAGTTAGTTTAGATACCAACTATCAGCATGGCATGGTTATACATACCAATAGCCGGAGGAACTGCAGCATTGTCCGGGTGGGCACTTGGCTTTCGCTCCGAATCCACACAATCCATCGGGGCTTTCCTTCAGATCCTTAGGCGCAACAGCAACAGTGCTAGCCTCGAAAGTCAAAGCACCTGAATTGCCATTGTCCGATCCATCGTCGTTCTCGAGTTTAGCAAGCTCACAGCCGAGAGGGTTCTCATCACAACCGGAGTCGGCTTTGGTGCTGAACCACTTAGCGTAGTATGCGAATCCAAGGTTGAGCTTCTCGGGATCAGCCCCAATCACGAGATACTCATTGATGGTGTCCAAGGATCCCTGGACACAGCTAGCGTGGCCGGCAACGTTATCGCGACGGTTAACCAGATCGTAGCTCATGACATTAACCATGTCGACGGACTTGAAGATCTTAGGGCCCTGCTCCTTGGTGAAGGCGATAAAGTCCTGCTTACGACCTGGTACTGCGATAGAGAGAATCTTGTCGCCGAGTTCTTTGCGGAGAGCTTCGAGGAAGAGCGGATATGTTTCGATCTCGTCCACTTTCTTGGAGTTCGGCACCTGTTTGTAGTCTTGACCGTTGCCACCAGGGTATTCCCAGTCAACATCTGTTTATACGGATTAATGGTTTTCTCCTTTTTCAATTTAAAGAAGATTGTTGGGGAATCTTACCGACACCGTCGAATCCATGTGCGTCTAGCATCGAAGCGACGTTCTTGGCATATCGCGTGCGCGAAGTCTCGTCCTTTGCTCCCTCGGAGAAGCCAGTGGTGTCACCCCAGCCACCAATAGCAACTAACAGCTTGGTCTCCGGGCTAAAGCGCTTACGCATGGTCTCAGGGGACTCAAATGGCTTGTATTCTGCACCGGAGTTGAATAGCTTTGAGGCAGCGAAGCCCATGATTGCATAGTCGATGCCCTCAGTCTTCTCCTGGCCCGGAAGAGCGGTTACATGGTACCTTGGGTAGGTATTAGCTGGGGCTCGAGATATGTAGATCAATTCCACCAGTTTGTACTAACTGGTCAATGTACATGACAAAGCGCTTGGCAGCCACGGACTGAGCGGCCAGCAGGCCAAGTGCAAGGCGTTTGAGCATGATGGAAATCGATTAGACGGCAGTCGTGATATGTGTATAGACAGATCGAAAGGTTACTCCAGGATCCAGGGGTCTGGGCAGAATGTGCAAGAAATATCCAGTCTGTTGGCGATAGTAAAAAGCAGCTACAAGCCGCGAACAAAGTAAACCGAGAAATAATAGAGATAGACATCGGGAGCAGAAGATAGCCAGGTATATATTGAGTCCTGCACAGCGCATAGATAAAATAAAGAATGTAAAATAGAATCAATCAAAATTGACTATCAGTAATTAATACCTAATCTTGCCAAGCCCACGGTGCCCGCCATCAATGGACAGGTGACGGGCGGGCCCCTCTGAAAAGGAGGAGCTCGACCCTCTTAGGAGGACCTGCGATTAGTCTAAATATAATCATACCCAAAGATGAAGTAGAGGGTGGTATAATACGTATTATTACCCTCCCCCCGCCAGAGATCCTAAGCTCAGTCACCAATTCGCCCCCAGATACCATTACTCGGGTTAATAAGCTCAATGCTAAGCTTATTCATGACATTGAGCAAATTGAAAACCACTCTTAGAGGATAAAACGGCATATCCAACGAAGTATGGATGCAAATCCATTTTTATCCTAAGAAAAATCTTTAAGTGGGGCAGAGAATGTGTTGGTGGGCTTGGCACGATTATGTCCACTTTGTTTACTAACTAAGACACACACACTAACTAACCGGCCCCTCCTTTTATTCCGTCAACTGAGTGCACATCAGTTAGCTATGCGTGCGAGCATCAAATCTTGGCGAGGGCCTCCACCAAAGTCCTAAAGGTACGTTTTTTTTAAATTCTTTTTTACTCCGCCTGAACTTATGACGATTTTGCTCGGAGCCTCCTAGATTTTGCCATGGACCCAGTGGCCTGGAACTAAGCGATACCCACTACCATCTGGAATGATGCCTGCGATTACAAGATCTGTGATAGAGAAATAAACAACACCAGGCGAAATCTATATTGAATTTTTGGTAAATGACCTCGGTGAACATCTACTATGGATAATAAACTGACAAAGATCAGAATCACGATTGTATATTGTCATATTTAGAGATAGGATAGCTCAGTTGATTATCGCTCTGCTCCAAAGCGTCAGTGCCTCCAAATGTATTGACCACCTTAAAAGTCCAAAATCAGTCAGATGATTAAATACGGGATATAGAAGAACATACTGTTGTAACCAAACTATCGTCACCCTGCTTGTCACCGCTGAGCTCCCACCACATACCTCCACCAAGTCCCTTAGACATGATATATTCAGCCTTCTTATGCGCGTTCTGGGGGGTATCATAGCTGATAAATAAACGCGAGTCCGAGTTGTAGCAGTAGCTAGCAGCCTCTTGGTCCATATCCGTGACCGAGCAGCCGGACCGAGGCAGAGCCTTGTAGTCCCACACACCATCCTCCCAGCTACCAGCACCCACACCATTAGAAATTTGGCCAGGACCAGAGGTGTCTGTGAAGGCTCGGCCGTACAGAGGCATACCTAGGACAATCTTATTAGAGGCCACACCATGCGAGGTGTAGTAGTCAATTGCTTGGTCTGTGTTGAAAGGGGTGCTGGAGGGGTTGGCTTCGGATGCGTAGAGGTTGGCGCTGTGGCCGTTAATGATACCCCGACATCCGCCAGTGGTGCTCCAGCATCCGGAGTAATCGTAAGCCATTAGGTTCCAGAAGTCAAGGAACTGATCCATCTGGCTAAGATGCTCTTTTTGGTAATTTGAAGAGCCTGGAACTTTTGTTAGCGTTGTCAAGATGTACGAAGAAAAATACAAGTACCAGCTGGAGATGCAGCGGTGAGCAAGAAATGGTAGCCGCCTGCATTAGCCGAGCTATACGAATCTAATGTCTGAAATGTCGAGTGTTAGCAGAGCCATTGCTAGGAGAATCCTTTCATTACCTCACGAAGACGGCGCAAGGTATCAACAAGTTCGTCCGCTTCGGTATCATTGGCAGGATACTTTCTAGAATCAGCATTAAATCCAGTAAACAAGGTAGCGAACTCACTTCAAAATCGACATCAATACCGTCAAAGCCCAGGTTCTGTAGCAACTCGACAGCACTGTCAGCAAATTTTTGGCGTCCTGCCTCAGTCTGAAAGGCGATTTTGAGGTTTTCAGCATAGTTCCAGCCTCCAATTGATAGGAGAACCTTAAGCTTGCGGTTCTTCTTCTTGAGTAAGAATAGCTGCTTAACACAACCATAAACATTGTTTCCGGTGTCAGCCCAGGAATCGGTGGAGTAGTGTTTGTCAGTATCCGACCAAGAGTCCGACAGGACCACCTCACCAGAGGCTTGGGTATTGGCAAATGCGTAAAGAACATGGGTCAGCCGTTCGGCCGGGATATTCTGAGGCTGGAAGTTACGAGCATAAACGCCCTGGTGGTGTCTGGTCAGGTATTGATTTAGCATTAGGGTCTATGAACAAGGCTCCTACCCAGTTTACAAAGTAGGCCACGGAGCGATATCTGTGGACATTACGAGTAACAATATCAGTACCGTTGGTCCCGGTCAATGACGAATTGGAGGAAGCATTGACCAGCCACGACAGGCCGAGCAAGAAAGAAAAGATAAAGTGCATAATGAAAATGCTTCAAGGATGTGATCCAGTGAGCGCTAACAAAACCAAGAATTGTGGAGGAAGAGAGAAGACTTCTTATATTTTACTGAGGGTCCACAAACAACTGGTCATTGTGGCATACAACATACAACAAGCCCAAGTCCTGAATAAGATCTTAGATGTGACCTTTAATGCAAAGCCAATAGAAACACGCTGGACAATGTTCAACAATGGATCTCGCCCAGTTCGGAACCACTTAAGAGGTTCCCTATTTGTCTTTCAACGCATGGATCTACGCCTGATAACTTAAACCACTTTTGATCCAACAAGAATAGGACACGAATGGGAAGGTTCAAAAAGCTTAGCCATGTCTCGGTATCAGTATATCATTAAGAAGGAGCGAGGCCAAGAAAAATGAATCGGTGGGGCATACCTATTCAGTCATTACTACTCACATCGAATCAGAGTTTCTTTTTACTATGCGCAACAATATCATCCCGTAAACCGCTCAGCAATAAATATATGGCGCGAGGCTCAAGTATAAAGAATAGAGATGTACTTCTGATTTCTGGGAATCATTATAGAAACGCAGATCACCGGGGCAAAAGCGATGTCCCACTTGCTATGAAATGACACGAATTAAGATCAGATTACCCAGTTTCGGACGAGGGGTTGTAAGTCGCAGGAGCATAGAACTGCTTTCGAATATTACTAGTCCAGCTGGAGTCAAAATTGATTGGAACGATCGTTTTAAAAGGAAGGCCTCTTCCGAGCTTCGGTAGAAGGACCTATTGAAGTTGTCGAAGTCTTTCTGGAATACAGTAGTAGACTGCGACATCGTCCCTCCATGTGCACCTACGAGGTGCCCAGGGCCCATGGGCATGCCCAACTGCCCATACTTGTATGAAGTCACCCAAAATGGACGCATAACCTACTGACTTAGCAGAATAACTTATTGTTATTTACATGCGTTTTGCCAACTTTATAAATGTCATTATTAGTACACAGAATATATAAATCTGATTGAAATATTTTGATATTTAATAATGGCTGTATCAAAAATGCGAGCAAGACAAAAAAAAAACCCCCTTCTAACACTTGGTAGTTAATATTTTTATAAATTTGTTAAATGATCCTGTCATAGCTAGAATATATATTCGAGACATAGAGTAACTCTAACATTTAGTTTACATAAAATAGTAACTGAAGTAAGATTTTGTATCTCGCGATGAATATGAAATCTATAACCATGACTTAAATTTTTATCATTATAATTCAACTTATATCGTCTGACTTACTATATTATATTGCTCAAATGGTCGCTTTTTAGTTCTCTAGTGTTGGAATGTTCAGATCCTCTAAGTTAGATGGGCGCTTGGGCATTGTCCATGGGCATGCCCATGCTATCCTAGCCAATTAGCGTATAGTATCGTAGTAGGTCTACACCATAATTATGATATCATATCTACATGATTACCCTTTGCCACAGTCGCAAGTTCCCTTAGGTAGGTAAATAAGATCACACTCTCCCTCACTTTGTACACCCGTGGACTATCCCATACATTAGAGTGGAAAATACTTTAAAAATACGGAATAATTACATTAGGCAGTCCCGGTAATAATTATCCCCCGATTATCTATCTTAATACCGGGGGGACGATCTCATAACATGTGATATTGTTGTAAATTACCCGAAACTCCGATACATACCTATACCCCTCTATGCGCCTGTTCCCCTTTTCTTTTCTTTTCTTTTCTTTTCTTTTTTATTTTTTATTTTTTATTTTGTATTTTTTTTGTGGCACAACTATCTCGGAAGGTGGCTACATCCTCCGCACAATATGGCACCGAGATGACCCCCCTCAAAACTACAATTTGTTCATGATATGATACTAAGCCAGTCACTAACCACCTCTCAAATGGCTGATGCAGCTGAATGCAGCGAAAGAACGATCAAGAATATCCGCAAGAACTTGCCGCTATTCGGAAATATTAATTCCCCTCCAAATCGCGATAGTCGGACACGAACTGTATTTACAAAGAGAAATCATTCTTTGCCAATATATGGCCAATAGCAAGGAGGTAGCCACTGTACGCTCGAGCAGTAGCTTTAGCAGACAGTAAAAGTGGGACCATTGCGAACTTATAAGCCCTGTCAAGACCCTTCTCCTGTTTCCTCCTTTCTTTCTTATTTGAACAAAGAAATTGTTTGATGCGGGCCATCAGTTTATCAGCGGTGTGGTATGTTCTAGACAAAAGTCATGCGATAACCTTTAATAACCTCCAAGCCATAGGCAGAGCAGAGTCTATACTAAGCCACTTCTTTACACCAGATTGAAACTTTGTCATATTTTGTCATAAGTGAGTGCATGAGATCTGACTTTAACGCGTAAACATTGGAGTAACAGTTCACAGTAGCCTAGGATCTTATGACTATCATGGTATCCACGAAGAGACCCATGCGAAAGATGTCTTTATCGATTTCACGACACCGCTTGCCTCAAGGCTCACAGGAAAAAGTGGAAGAATTTCGCATGTCAACTCAGAAACGGCGCGCCCTTTGGTGGAAGGATATCTCCAGCAACGGAGCCTTAAACTTGAATCTACCTTTGAGCCAATCTACCAGACACATGACGAACATTGCAGTCGAGGATATGACCAAATGGGTGCATCGACCACTTGGGGATCGTAAGAGGGAGGAAAAGACACATGGGAAGGTCTTACGACCTAGAAACTGCTTCATCTTATATAAATCGGCTTATGCACGGCGCATCGAAAGTGTTCTACAGAAGAAGGACCACTCGGCTGTCTCTGCTATTGCGGGGCGGAGCTGGAATATGGAGACGCCTGAGGTCCGACAGAGATATACAACACTGGCCCATATCGAACGCCAGGGTCATGCTGAAGCGCACCCAGAGTATAGGTTCTCGCCGCTGAAGCGAAAGCGGTCTCCAGTGGCGAAGGAAAGCTCACCCGAGATTAAAGTCCCTAGTCCTCCTGTTAGCACCGACCTGGGGCCGCAGCTACAAGATATTGTAAGTACGTTGCTCATCAGTGAGGCTTCCTGGTGGCTGCAAGGTGGGAGCTTCCGTTTTTCAACCACAGAGGAATTTGGGATGGACTATTCATCGGATTTGGTTGAGCCACCCAGCACATATCCTGGGATATGGGGTTCTGAATTGCTGTTTGATTCTTGAATGGTACACGCTTAGACCATCGGCTGCTAGCTGGATCTAATAAAAATATAAACAACCATTTGGCTCACGATAAACTTTTCCTAAACTTTTCTCTGTAAACGCACTAGCACGCTGGAAGCCGAATTTGTACCATCTCTTATCTTCACCGCTATTTCTCGAGATTCACTACCACAAGTGCCGTCAGAGGTGTCTGATGGCTGGTAGGCATCATGATCAGACTGGTATGAAGGAAGAGATTTCACAGCAAGCAATCTAAGATGGCCAGTAACATGGGCCACGAGGCTGTCATCATCAAGATCTGCCTTTCACACAGTTGGCATGAGTCAGACACGCGACTTATCTTGCGAGCACTTCTATCGGCGAGAACATCAAGTTGTGATTCACACCAACACGACATATTCCGGCAAGGTTCAACACGGGGTCTAGATCGCTTGTGGATTAATCGCGCGTAAATGCCACACCTGGACAAGTCCAATCAAGTCTCCGCTATTTCCGCAAATTGGGGCCAAGCGTGGCCCACATTGGATGTAACACTCTGGTGAGAGGAGAAGCGACGTCTAGAGTTGGCAAAAACCTACATGAGGAAAATTGTTCTACACTTCATCCCTTTTGTTATCGAGACTGGTAGATGATGACAAGTCACCACATGCCATGGACACTGTATCCGAAGTAAGATTAGGAGCTAACGCAAATTTGAAGACTTGCCACGTGCAGCACACCCCAAGAAACGGTTCGATAAACGGCCATTTACAGTTTGCGACAATTTCTGCAAATCACGGAGCTCGCTACAGTCCGGGGAATGGTGGGAGCCGGGAGAAGATGCCTTGGCCATTGAATTGATGGATCTGGAATTTCCTCACGATCTTTCTCGGAGGACTGCATTACTGCTGCCATGCAGGATAGTTGTTTTTATTCACTCTATTTCATAATTAATGCGCCGGGAAGCTTGTTACTTCCCGTGTAGGCAAATACTGAAAAGTTCTAGAAGAGCTCGAAGAGGCAACTAATGGATAATTAGCCTTCTGAGAAAGGGAGAAGAAAAACCAACTTACCCATTTCGCAATAATGGACAGAATATCTACTGGTACAGTTTCGAGCATCATGGTAAATGTCGAGGCGTAAGTGTGAGGTTTAGCAACCTGCAAAAGTGATCCTTTATAAGTTGGGTATGGGAAGCACTCATAGCCATGCCTATTTTTGGATGGTCGGGCGTGCTAAAATATCTGTTTCCAAGTTAATATTAATTTAATCAACGCAGCCACAAGCAAAGCTGATAAGGATTAATTGAATCCCTGGTAGAAACCATACAATTCAAAGGGAAATAAGGAGTTTGTCATAATGTATTGTAGTAGCTTTGAATAGACTTCTAAAATGCTCACAACTTTGAGACTGCAGCATGATTTACGCAGCTCGACAATGCCACGAGTAATTATCTAGTCATATCTATCCCCATCCCCTGCGCAATCCTCAATTACGCATTTGCCTGTGTATCTACCACAATGATGGCACAAGTATCACATAGAGAGTGGAGAAAGGATAACAGTAACATAGCCGGATTAGCCCTTAAGAAGACACGTGGCCACCCTGCAGCCATGAACATATTTCCATGAGCGCTTCGGGAGAAATCAAGAGAATCTTTAAGGATGAATTGGTTTCTAGGCACCAAGTTGTGGATACTTGCGAGGTGAGTGAGTCTTACCTAGCTTCCATCACAATGATGACACTTAATTTGCAGTGAAAAGTTTATAGGTAGACTTAGCGGCTGTAATCCGGCACACGAATCCTACGAGAGAAACGCTATTTATGAGCCTGAAGCCAATGGGAACCTCCAACATGCCGCCTCCATTCGCTTCAATGGAGTAGAGGTCCTCCGATGTCAGCGGTGCCATGGAAGGCGATCATCTTTCCATCACCAAAATCATCAGTGAGACCCCGTGTCGAATTTCCTTCCATTGGAGTTTGCTCGCGAATAAGGACAGGCTGCGCTGCAGCTAAATGGAACTTTCAAGGCTCATATGTCCCTGGTGAAATTATTAGCCAATTCCATGAATTACCAGTGTATTGATTGGGGGAAGATGACTCATCAATAGTGTATCTACATTGATCGCATGGAAGCATGCATCCAAGTCACCACAATACTGAGCTATAGTGTACAGTCTTTCCAATTGGAGAGAGGGACTAAATTTAGCTCCAATCTCTCCAATGAAGCAAAGGATAGGGGTTTATAAGGAAATAATTCAATGCAGATACACCAGTTTCCGCGGAAAATTCAAATAAGCCCAATTAAATCTTCTGGTGTCCTGTTGGGCAAGACAAGTCGCTGAGAAACAATTATCATAACCGAGCTTTTCGGCGTAGCGAGATGGAGATGGTCGGATAATCCCCCTTTCTGTCCTCGTCCTGATACCATCCTTTCGGTTATGTGACTTTAACTTGTCGGTGCATTTTTATTCCTGCTTTCCAGTTTCGGTCTTCCCCTGCTGTTGCGTAAACACGGGCGATTAAGTACGAGAAATTTATCCCACTTTGTTATATGCTGAATAGTGTCACATAGTTTTACTAACACAATGTTGGGATAAAACACCATTGATTATGTCATGCTTATTAACAAAAAAATAACACCATCGTCGGAAAAACTTCATTGTGGTTGTGCGTCATCAATAAATAGTATGTCAAAATGTGATAATGCGTGAGATAATTGTCACCAAATCCGAATGATGCCGAAATACCAGGCTTCGGAATTGAAGGTGCTACGTCAGCTCAGAAATTAAGCCCAGACTCTTTTGTGATGCTTTTACACTTTCGTGTAGGACCGTATAGTTTTCCTAGAGTTTTCCTCCCATCTTTCAGCACTCAACTCAAACTGCACAATCTGGACCTTAAGCTGCTGAACTTGCCGCTCTAAACTTTTCCTGTCTGCTGTTCTGTCTTATATTTGCTTTGTTCCGCATAATATGGAGATTACATTGTAAATTTGTCTAATCTGTTCATAATTGAAGTGAATCCTAAATCTATGGGCTGCGTCATAATAATCCCTCGATGTGATAGAACAGAAAAGAATCAACAACACACACTGATGCGGCCGCGTAGTCGGTTGTACAAAACCGCGAACTCCCGCGCCAGTTTAGCTAAATTGGCTTTCTCGCTTTATTAGTATGGCCGGCCGGGTTCTCATCTCAACATTTTCATCTTGATCCGACATCGTGATGTGATGTAGAATGTAAAATGAGTAGGAAGTGAATAAAACATGAAAAAACTTAGGATCCGGTGGGGTCCCCACTTGTGTATGCAAGCAGGTAAGCGAGGTGATGTATCAACAGGCGGCTCTGGTGTGCATAGGCACCTCTTCTACATTCCCCTATACCTCATGGTATTGTTGGCGTAACAAGACCGCTAACGTATGTATACCGTAACGAGTGGGGTAACCGTGCCGAAATATGGCAGAGGTACTTCCTTCGCCGACCGACAGTAATCCACCATTTTGGGTAGTCAGTTCGCCAAACTCCTTAGACGCTCGTCTGACCATCTGCTCTTTACTATGAATGAGTTTCCATCATGATTCAGGCCGATAAGCGGGGCTGTGACAACGGCGAACCTTGACCCCTCGAAACTCCATTGGGGCGCGAACAGGTCACACAGACGTTGTAAACCCTTCATGCTCCTTTCTACTCCGGTTTCTAAGCAAACCAAGCATAAAGAAGCAGCTTCGGCAGTTACTTATACATATCATCATATAAAAATCTCTGGAAACCCGCGTCCACCGTGTGCGCGTCGGTACTAATCCCAATTTACTTTACGAGTCAGGTACGACGTCATAATACACTCTATGAAGCTACAAATCATTATGATCCCAAATACCTGATTATCCTACTATACTCATATATTGAACAGACTTGTATATCTTGGAAAGCGATAAAAAATTGTCGATTCCAACGGATCGGACAAACACAAGATAATAATTTGATGAATATGATAAAAGAAGCGTTTATTGGGGCACAGTATCACTAGATATATTGTGGTGGTCTGTGTAACGGTATGTTTGAAAAAGAAAACAATAAATCTTCCAAGAGGAAGGAACCATCAAAAGAATCACGGGCTTTGGGCAAGGTGTATTATGAAATCTGCATCCCCACCGAAAGGACCATCCTCGCCATAAGGTCTTGCGTCAAATGCAAATTCTTTCTGGCCCAGGCCTGCGAGGCGCGCAGGTTCTGTGAAGATGGTAGGGATTCGGTTATACCCACCGCAAAACATAAGTCGCCTTGTAGAGAAGCCAGCGGACTCAATCCGAGTGGCGGTTGATAAGATGCGTGGGGTAAGTATTTTTTTCTTCGACATGTGAAAGCTTCCAATGAGCACCGCAACTTTGACAATCGACCCGCTTCGGAGGATTTTCGATAGGGCGTTGAATATGAAAGCTTCTCTCTCCTCGCCAGTAGGGCCTGAAGACTGATCAATGTCCACTGGGAGAACTGAAATGCGGTTCTTTGCTAGGGTGCGACAAAGAAGAATGTCACTCATTGGGACATCTTCCAAAGTAGGTGCTTCAACGGCGAAATGTGTAATGCCAGCGCTTTTTAGGGATGCAGCGTGAGCACAAAGGTGGTCGCGAATAGGTTGATTCGAGTGTTGGTCGCCGAAAAAAATCACATCAGTATCGCATAGGAGATTATAATCAACAGGTATATTGTTTTGTAGAATAGTATTGCGCGCCTGCTCAAACGAGTTCCATGCTTGGCGATTCATTTTCAATCACGATGAGTAGAGACCGGAGGAGAGTGCTTGGGCGACCTACAACCAACTTAAATATATATCCGCTACATGGCTCTCACCGCTTTGGGGCGGAAGACAGGCCACGTCTGAAGCGAGAGCTAGTCAGTTCAGTTAACCTGACTAAAGACATGCTTCCTCTTGTATGCCACTACGGTTGCGATGGTATGAAGTAAATTGGGAGGCCGCCATATTTGGATCTTGCGGATCAAGGTATCTCTGTAAATTCAGTAATGTACCTTTTCTGTTGCGGTACATAGAGTGTATTATGACGTCGTACCTGACTCGTAAAGTAAATTGGGATTAGTACCGACGCGCACACGGTGGACGCGGGTTTCCAGAGATTTTTATATGATGATATGTATAAGTAACTGCCGAAGCTGCTTCTTTATGCTTGGTTTGCTTAGAAACCGGAGTAGAAAGGAGCATGAAGGGTTTACAACGTCTGTGTGACCTGTTCGCGCCCCAATGGAGTTTCGAGGGGTCAAGGTTCGCCGTTGTCACAGCCCCGCTTATCGGCCTGAATCATGATGGAAACTCATTCATAGTAAAGAGCAGATGGTCAGACGAGCGTCTAAGGAGTTTGGCGAACTGACTACCCAAAATGGTGGATTACTGTCGGTCGGCGAAGGAAGTACCTCTGCCATATTTCGGCACGGTTACCCCACTCGTTACGGTATACATACGTTAGTAGTCTTGTGTCGAATACTAAGATTGAATACATGGTGGAAACAAGGTATAATACCATGTGACAACTGGTACCATCCATACCATACAAAAGTGCATATTACAGTTAGTCATCTATGTCCGCCCAGATTGTTGAAAGTGCGGGTTTTGTCATTTTAGTTAGTTAGAGATTCCAATATATCTGATTTTGTCCATACGTTGTCATACAGCCAGATTTCTGTCATCTTGTTTAGAAACACCGAAAATCGGAAAATGGCCACATACTGTAGCTCGTGGGGCAGAACAGGTTTGTAATATGGGATAGAGCATTGTTAGTCGTTCTAGAGTCTAGCATACTTTTCTTCAATTCTTCCACGTAGCAGATTGATAAAAACTTTGAGCACAATACCCGAATCAGTACTTCGCGAGCTTGCGAATCGCGCATCTTCTTCCCGAGGAAGTGATGGTTCTATAGTCTAGTGCTCAAAGTACCTATAAGCATGCCTGAAATCTACAACAAATGGTCCTTGATTTTGTGTCTATCAAGTTTCGAGAGTATAGCACAAATCTAGCTTGCCGTGTACCTTCTCAGGTGATGTATCTTCATAATGCTTGCCCTAGATAGAATATAAGCCTAGTGCCATCAACTGTGCTATATTTGATATTTGACCTATTCCCGGGTATTGTGTCGTATCCTGTTTTATCTCGTTATCTAATGTCAGATTGTAGTGTGGACGCGTCCAAGTAAGAAGCTATTCCGGGGTGACGCGGGGGCGGGACGTGCCCCTAAAGCGCCATTCTTCACACCACAAGAGCTAACAGAAATTTCATTTATAATACCACGCTGTCACATCACATTCTCTCCGTTCTAGATCTAAATATGATGGGGTTTTGAGCACCACAGATGGCCTCTCGTCACTAGCGCGACAAACTTCGAAGCCACATGGAGCTTCTACTCGGTTGGAACTGAGTGATATTCTAATGCTAATTTTGGTTCTTTCGGTCGGCGAAAGCTAGGTTGCAGATTTTATAGAAGGGCACCCTCTCCTTTCTCTCTGATGCTCGAGACGGTATCAATAAATCAAATGTTGGCCTGGGAAAATTCGATACAAAGGGCCACCGAGACAAACCTGTCCCTTCAGAATCCAACCAAACCTCCATGCCGTGCCTGCCCGCATCCGGCAAACGTCGGCGGGAGCACATTTAGTTGGAGGTAATTAGGGATCATAGTGGGCCAAAAGTAGAAATACTTATTCAGTGCGTGTAGTTGTTGGGCATAGTTAGACAAGTTCGCAAATCTCGATCTTTAAATCTCCAACCCTACAAGTGTAAAAGAGATCAGAGCGATGCATGGATTTTCCGGTATGTATCCTGCATATAACTTCTGAGGGGTCAGGTAAATGAAATCCATGTCGATCATAAATTTCTTGAGTCCACAAATGATCTCTGGGTTCTGATATAAACGCGGCTCTATGAAATTTGAACTGGTGAACAAACGTTCCCATTGTACATGTAGCATTTCCTCCCGCCTTTGCCCCACCTTTCCTGTCTTCTTCCATCAGATGTCCCTTCCAATATCGAATCGTCTCCCGAAGTATCGACGATCGTCTGTATCTATCATCTTTATCGGCCTATCAGCTGACCATGAGATCTCGTCTCTCAAATGGCGCATACGCTTTGTAATTTCATTGGAACCCCGTTCTGTAATTTGGATCCTCTCCACCTTCATATGTCGCCCTAGCCGCTCCCGTATGTTTCGTTCATCCAAATTGTCCTCAATTCTCAGATTGATGCGGAATATCCATGTATTGTACCACACCTCGTTCAAAAGATTGATGCCCTTCTCCCCTGCACATGCATAAACGAGTTCCTTTCGGAGCCAGGATGGGTGACGTCGAATGCGATTCTGGTGATAGCAGATCCCGTGGCACTGAGCATGCTCCCCAAATTCGTGATTGATAGCCTGCTCAAGTCGAATATGCTGGTTTGCAGCATCCATGATAATTCCATGCTGTCTGCCGTACGTGTGGACATAGCGAACCATTCTTGTTTATTTTGTTGAGAAAGCAACCCCTATGATCCCGTGGAATTGGCTGGATTTATACAATTCCATTATAGTATGTAAAGAAGGACAAAACCAATCTAAATCCGGTTTTAGTACTGATACCGTCATTCTCGAAATCGGCTTGACCGATGCACACTGAGTTACTCTTCCCTAACCACACCGCCAAGGCTTCGTTTATTGAGCAAGCTGCATTAAGGTGATGACCGCAGTATTATGCCATCTGTATTATGCTGCCATATAGTACAGTGACCGTCAAGTTTACTGATCGACGGTCAAAGAATGGCAGAATACGGAACCATTCTGAACCATTTTTCTCTTGCCCATCATTCTTTTAATGCGGCTTGCTATTTTATCCGCGAATGCCCTATGTGGGATCTATGCTTTGGATCCTCGCGAAGGTAAGAGGTTGTGGTACGTAGTGTGTAGACCTCTGCATAGCCCACAAAGCCCATAGCCCAACCCAACCCAACCCACGAATGGGTTGGGCTTTGGGCCGGTCCTTCGAGCCCAACGGTGGGTTATGGGCCAAGAGTGAAAGCCCACAGGGCCCATTTCGGCCCATAATGGGCCCCCATTATTCATCAAACAATACAAACATACCAATTTATCGCAGCTGCATAAGTAATGCATTTTTCCCTGGTTTTTTTGGGTATTCCAATTACCTTCTAAGCCGTACATGAACCATCTTCTTCTTATTATAAGCTTATATGATTGATTGAGAAGATATTAAGTGATAGATGCTAGGTGGTTGAATTATATTAATAATGCTCATACATATCATCCTCAACTCGCATCCTCTTCCTCCCTGATGTACGCTGCTGAGTATGAGTACTCGGTAATTGTGGTGCAGCAGCATCATCATCATCTCCGTCAAGACTGTAGTTATCAATATCTATCAAATCCCCAGATAGATCACCCTGTTCTTCAGTATCACTAATCTCATCAATCTCAACATCATCCGGCGTCTCATCCTTCTCTTCCATCAATGCGTCGATCTCATTAGAAGTAAAGAACTGCTTCAATTCCTCCGCTTCCTGTACATCAAGGTCAAACTTAGATGTACAGAGGTATAGCATTAGCTCTTCGATGGTGCCCGATTTCAAAGAGCCGCGGCGATAATGGCAGATATCGCGTGCAGTATTAAACAGACGTTCCACACCAGCACCCGTTGCTGGGATTGCAAGATAATCCCGTACAAGTGAAGCGATAGCTGGGAAACGAGATTCATTCTCTTTCCAGAATGAGAGCGGCTCCGAATCAGTTACATCTATATCAACATTAGTATCTATTAGATAAGTGATCGGAAGGATTCAACCTACTGCCATCAAGATACTGCGTTATTTCATCAACAACCGGCTTTGACTTGGGGATAGATTTCTGGCTTCGAACAAGATTGTGAAGAACTGATCTTGGTGTCGATGTAGAAGACCCTTGCGGGCCCTTAGCACTATCAAGACGTTCCTGGATCGGAGTAAGTGCATCTTGGAATGCTACTCGATACTGATCCCGTAGCTCTTTAGCGTCGGACCAGTCATCAGAAAGAAAGAATTGGAATCTATTATCCGGCGACAGCATTGTACAAACTGCATAGATATGCCCTCGCATTTTATCAGTCTCCTTGTAGTAGTCGCGTAATTTTGACCAGCTAGCATCGAGAGAAGCAAGCATCTGCTGCTTCCATACAACTCGCTTTCGTTTCAATTGTCTTTTTGATCGTTCAATATGCTCAAATAGCAAATTATAGATCTCAAAGACAAGATGTGATGTTACATCTCGTGTCTTTGAGAGAGCAAGTGTATAATCAAAGAATGGCTTTGTAAGACAAAGAAGATAGTCAATCTGACGCCATTGATCATCATCTAGTGCGAAGTCTTGCTCATTGAACTGATCACAGAATTGTATGATAAAGATACGGAGTCTCTTGGCTCGCCGGAGCATAAGATATGTTGAATTCCACCGAGTCTTCACATCTTGGAGAAGCATAATCCCTTGCCCTGAAGGTTGAAGTGCGATAAATGAATCTCGGCGCTGAGGACTAGCGCGGATGTATACAGCAAGTGCTCGTATTCTTTTCAAATTATGCGAGATATCCCGTTTTTTTGTATTCGCCCTTGCGAGAGTAACTTGTTGCTCAGTCCATTTGGTCTCTGTAGTCTCATTCTGAGGGACTGCTTTGAGACGGTCAAGTAGCTGGTTCAAACTCAATTGGATCACATGCGCAAGACAGGGGATGCGGATGATGTTGATATCCCGTGCATTAGATAAAGATTGTTGTAGCAAAGATTGCTGTAGTGTATCAACCAGAGTCTTATTATTCGACGCATTATCAGTGGTCAGTCCTCAATTTCATGCTGAGTAACCGTCTGTATGACAGTTGTACTTAGGTTCACACCGGAATGTGTTCCATGAAGGGGTTTGAAACCGAGTAGCACCTCGCGGTAGACCCAGTCAGCATCGATAAAATAGCCAGTAATGGCTATAAATCCTTGCCCAAATGGAGATGTCCAACAATCCAATGCAATTGAGATCCTTGCATGCTCCGGTAGCATCCTAAGTATATTCTTTTGCCGCTCTTTGACACGAAGAGATAGCCGACGTTGAATTGTAGAAGCGCATGGTATATCCAAAGGGCTTGGGGCTAACTGTGATTGCGAAATCAAGAGACGAAAGGATGGGTTTTCGACGAGTCGGAATGGGAGTCGGTTGATGGTAATGAATTGTAGGAGTTGATCGTTCCAGTCCTCTTGCGAGAAAGATGCTTCCGCTTCGGTATGACCCTATATTGATATTGATATAAGTAAGTAGTATGAAAGAAGGATAGGACTGTATATACCGATTGAATAAACCCTCTCATTACCCCCTTTTCCTTCCGTATCCCTGTAGCTTTTTTACAAGCTGCAGTTTCCAGATGACGAGTGATAGTCGTTGTACCATGACGGTTGACCTTTTCAATACTCTTACCGTTGCCAGTTTGTTTCTTAGTGCCATAAGGATGCTCAAGGATAAGACCGCAACGCTTGCACATCACCTTCGGGCTCCCAGAAACTACATGCGCCACTTGTTCATACTGTTTCCAAGTCTCCGAAGCAGAACCATGCTGGGAGTGCCATGGAATCATCGTGTTGGTAGATCCATAGTCGGTCTGTAACCACCAATCAACCCAATTGCTGTGATTCATCGCGTCGAAAAGAAAATAAGTGCCTATTCTACCAGGACCAACTCGTTGAAAGCACTAAAAGTGTTCTGCTTCTAAGGCAATTGACGAAGGAACAGACGGCTGAAGAAACGATGAACCACTACGGTGGTAGCTGCTGGATGCCTGATGAGAGGTAGTAAATGATATAGTATCGAGGTCAGGTTCAAATGGGTCGAACTGAGATGATCCAAACTCGGTTTGCTGGCTTTGCGACATGATCAGTTGACGATTCAATAATGAAGATTGATTCAATGATGAAGATGTATAGTATGAAATGTATAGTAGGAAGGATATAGGGCTTTAGGGGGGTAGCTTCAAGGTCATACATTACAAAAGGCCACTTCTTGAATCTTGATAGTAGCATTAAACAGCAAATTGATGCAATAAACAGAGGATTCATCATAGTGCTAGTCAGAATTGAAATGTATGATTATAATACTCGTATATGATTGGCTGCATCGTGCATATTAAGTGGGCTTAGCCCATCAAAAGCCCATTCCCAGCCCATTTCCCGGTCCATTTCGCAATATTATGATCCAAAAAATTTCACCCGATGGCTTAGGATATATTTTTAAACCTCTATTACCTCGAGATCAGCTATAATATCACCTATCTATAAAAGCAGAAATAAAGAAGGAGAGATAGGTATCTGTCAGTATAAAATTCAGTCATGTAAACCTACAAAACATGAATTTGATACTTGGTTTTATACTTCAACAGAAAGATGCACCTAGTTTAATCTAGATAATATATATATCTCTTCATGCTGATACTCAGTACGCTATAATAGTATGAATTCATGGTCAAATTGGATCTTTTTTGGGTGATTTTGTATGAAATCTGGCATCATGATGTTGAATTCAGTATAATAACTACTCAATTCCTACAATATTGTACTTCTGATGGTGATAATATAATAATACTGAATATACAGGCTGGAACTTGCGTAAAATACAGCTATTAATCAGCTACTTTATGCATGCCAAGACTGTATTTGTGCGTAGAAATGGGCTTTGATGGGGGCCTTATGGGCCCCCATTAATGGGCTGTGGGTTGGGTTGGGCTTTGAATATTGTGCCCATAGCCCACTATGGGTTGGGCTTTGGGCCGGGGGTATGGGCCCATTTGTGGGCTATGCAGAGGTCTAGTAGTGTGGTACTGCATCAATCCACTGATGCTTGCAATAAACGGACGGTCGCTCGACATAGCCCGATTCTTTCTAAACAGAGGGGCCCAACCAGGCGTCTCCAACATGTTCCACGGGCTTATGCCGGTCTGATGAAGGGCGACCTCGGTACTTTACGTGTTCTCCTCGAGTATGACGCCTTGGCAAACCGCATAACTGACCCGCAGCGAAAACTACCCCTTGACGTTGCACTGGATAGAAACAACATCGGACTATTGAAGCAACTGTGTGCTCATGGCGGCTGCCTTTCGGCCCACTAGCTAGCTTATGGAGCTGCGCCGCATTATTTGGCAGCGAATAGCCAACGAGGTCGATATGGTGCAGTGTGAAAAGCCTGACCAGTATGCTAATCAAAGAAGGATGGAAAAAATGTATGTCACCTGTTTTAGGACAAGCTAGCAAAGTCTCATTCCGTATCAAGTCACGTACATGTGTTCTGTTGAAATCTTCTTGCTAAACCCGAGGGATATTGGCATGCTGCAAATGCCATGAGATACAAGTATACTGGAATTTTACAAAGGCCAATGATCCATGTTTGGATTGCCCTTCGCTTAAACCTACTCATTTCAAATAGAGATAAAGGCCATTTTTGGAAGGAAGTGTGTGCGCGGTCTATGTTACTACGTACAACCGGGCGATCTAATCTAGAAGGAAGCTCTTTCTCAAGCACCTCCAGAAATACATCAACATATACCAGGCAGATTGTGTTTTGAAATCACTCAAACCGATCGCTATAACCACACAAATTATGAAGCTGCCCTAAGAGCACGTCAGTCGATCAGTGCGCACCAGACCATTCCATACCTGACTGGAACTCATGTCATTATAACTGATGAACAGGAGAGAAATCTTCGCCAGAGGGGTAAAGACTTTAGCATAGTGAAATCAAGCGAAAGAAAGGGCGTTTCGGTTTTTCTAGGACCAGATGGCTTTGTCAACTATGAAAGATAGAACAAATGAGCAACAAGACTAAGACCGTGTATTGGCAATGTGACGACATAGAAACAAAGTAGAGCCATTGGCTCTTTCGTTCTCTGCCACTGGGTATTAGTTCCGGGTCTCACGGAACGTTGCTTTTGTTCTTTGATAACAGTATCGGTAGCGGTGAGAAAGTTGAGAATATTATACTTCCTGCCCTAAGAACTGCCAAAGATGGCGTTTCCGATTGTATGTTATGATTCTCCATCCTAAAACCTCATTCCCAAAAAACCAATCCCTTAGACCTTGTAATAACCCGAATCTAGGTACAACTAATGCGAAGAGCAGGTAAGACACTTTCGAAGCATAGTACATATTGCAATAGTCAACATCGGTTCAACTTTGAATATCAGAACCGAGACTCCCTTTCCAACAGTGGCTGTTTTGAAAATCGGATTGAACGGTAGGCTTTCCAGAAATGAAGGCCGTTGTTTGATAAGTGCTGCCCTTGCATATAGCTGACTAGCCATCCCCTCGCAATGCTTCCGTGGAGGCTTGCCAACTGTGCCCGTGTTATCACCTCACGGCTCTTGCGAACAGAAGGCAACTTGGCCTGGAAGAGTAAGTATAGAATATCGAAATCTGTGGTGTAATTCTGCATCGCCATCGTTAACAGTTCATCGGGAAGCGACTTTCGGCGTATGACGTTGCCTCCATGGATCGGAAGAAAAGAATCCGATATTTCCACAAGGTACACGAGGGCAAGTCGAGAGTTCTGTCGTAGGGCCATTCTATTCCCAACAGGGAAGCGGCTTTGGAGAATTCAGGGGCAAGGGACTGTTGTTTCCCGACCCCTGCGCTGAAATCAAGCGTTGTAAATCGTTTTCCAAAGGCACGACTTAGAGTTACCAGTAAATCCAGTCGATCGGTATCCCACGGACCACGTAAGACCTTCTCTGAAAAAACGAGTATGCGGGCTGTTCGAACAATGTGAGGTCTACCATGCTCTAAGTAGTAATATGTGGCTTGTATAGTGAGGTAGTCAATCATCGGGAGTTGCTTTGGGAAACCATCATTCGTCAGAAGGTGATTTTGCCGGAATAAATCAATTGTACGTGCCGCCCTACATTGTCTCTCTTGGGTTTCAATCAAAGGAAATCGGCAATTCTCGTGCAGTATCAGTGCATCCAGTGTCAGGGCTAGCAAGGTCGGAAGTAGTCGTAGAAAGGGATGAAGTTTAAACCAGTGACAAGAAATGACTTGACTTTGAATCTTCTTCTGGCCTTGACTGCTCAAAGGATGGTACATATTGACCTGGCTGTATCGCAAGTCTAATTGCCAAACTGTCGCAGTAGTCCGCCTTTTGAAAGCTAACATTCGTATATGTATTAGAATATTACAATAGGACTAATATGACGGAATACTTACACTCCTTGCGCACCCTGCGTTAATATGGTTCGGATCTCGCTGTGTCGCACTTTCCACCTCTAGAGCTTGGTGTCATTTTCCAGCTGATAAGAAACGAAATCAAAGATATCTTTGTCAATTCCCGAATTTTGCATTGATAGATCACAGTCACGAGAGGGCTTTAAGGATCGTCGGATGTCAAGCTGGTCCCGGCTTGTTACTAAGAGATGAACACTAGGCAAGCGCCAGTCCCGCATCACCGTATCACTCTTAAAACATCTTGTCTGCCATTATCTCGGGTGCACTCATCTAGTGCATGGAGTAGGATATAGCTTTCCACGAATCGTTCAAGAAATCTTCGAAGTGTTTGGAGTAGTGCTTCCACTGAAGGAGTGGATGATTGGGACTAAGCTCGGAAGACGAAGGATCTGTCGAGGGGAAAAGAGAAAGGAAAGGTGGACTTCACAGTAGCGACTATCGTCCAAGCTCTTCGTCTAGGGACTCGAAGGATGAGCTATATTGAACTTATGGATTCAATGTCGTGCAGCATGGGGCGCGCTCACAATTAGACACTGCTGTTCCTCTGCCCTTTCTCCTCAAGTTGGGTGATAGGTGTCTTGCAATTATTGATGAAGGTCAACCAGGTGATAAAATGGATGGACTATATCAGCTATTTAATGAACCATTCATTTGAAAGTAATGGAAACAGAACGTCAAGAGTATACTTTGAACCTTCACACTGACTTCCAATCGAGGACGCAATGGAAACGCATATTTAAACCCCATCAAATGCGACTGTCTAGTTTTGACAGGATCATCAAATCATACCATTCAATAATATTATCTTTCGGTATTTCCCTCTGGATCGTTGGATGTCAAAGAAAAGTCAAGACGCTTCATCGTCTCCTTGAGAATATCTGGCCTAGAAGTGGTCGGCGGCATCTCTGCTGTTATATCCAATATCGATGTCCCAATCAAGATCTATGACAGTGCTCGGAAGGACATTAAGTTGTCCAAGAAGTTCGAGACCGTTGGACGCCGACTACCTATAGTTCTCAATACCCTTGAGATATGCAAGAATGACTTATGAACAGTTGAAGATTGCATGACCAAGGATGTCTACCAGGCTTTGAAGAAGGTTTTTGATGCTTGCAATGAAAAAGCAGGAAAACTGAAAGTTATTTTCGAACAAACCATGTCTGGTGGGAGAGATAAGTGGGAGAAACGATATTTCAAGGTCGTCCGGAGATTCGGTCAAGGGAACAAGGTCGAAGACCTCATGATTGCGATCACCCAAGATGTCCAACTCATTGTCAACAAACATGCAGTTAATTCTGCCACACCAGAGCAAAAGGCCATCATCGACGAAATAAAGTGTCTCCCGTCCTCAATGTCTGAAGAAAAAAGCTCGCGTATGAGTTTTAACACCCAGCGGAGGGGAGGTAACGGCCAATGTTCACCAAGGCCACAACTTCGGGAAGACGTGGAAAGCTACAACTCAAAATTTCGTTAAAGATGATTAGGCATTACAACACTTTCCTTTATTGGCATAACTATGAAACAAAGTTTGTACAGCTGGTTTTGTCGCAGTGAGAGGGGTTTTGTGCTTTATATCCTTATGCGTCTCAATTCTGAATGGCTACATTATTACTGCCACTTCTTATTTCCAATACACTGCTGCATATGTCTTTTGAAAGCCTCCAATTATCTTCCTATGAACACGAATACCCACTGGATAGTAGTGAAATTTCCCCGCTGAACCTCCGAACAGAAGGATGACTTCAGTTTTCGTGGCCCCGTTGGAATCTGTCTCGGTCAAGCGCCTTACCTCGCTTCGGAACTCTTCGTCGGTCGTCACTCCAAGCTTGTGGAGATTGCAGAAGTTTTACACCTTGACCGGACGCCTCAAAAGTACAACGCTTAGTCCTTGGTGGCATGGGTGTTGCCGGCAAGACCCAGCTTACGATCGCTTACGCGGAGTCACGGTCTCGATCTTATAGCTCGGTGTTTTGGATGAATACGGCGTCTGAGGCCGCATTGAAAGATAGTTTTCGATCGATTGCCGGCCTCATCTTCGACGTTCAGGATCCCAGACTCCTAGAGAGCAAAGTAATTATTGGACGTGTACATCAGGGGCTGTCTGATTCCACAAATACAGGATGGTTATTGATCTTTGATAACTATGACGACCTGAGCATGTTTGATATCAACGAGTATTATCCACCTGCTTCCCATGGGGCTATCATGGTCACCACCCGGCGCCCGGATCTTGTTGCTGGAGGTACTCTGCACATAAAGCCTTTGCAGCATATCAAAGATAGCTTGGGGATCCTACAAGCCAGATCAAAAAGAGAGAATGTGCAATTAGGTATGATACCAACAAATTCGCATCTTTGATCCACTAACCAGTATTGTGAGATTCCTATGCAAACCGTCTCGCGGAGCGACTTGCCGGACTTCCTCTTGCTTTAGCAACTGCCGGGACCTAGCTTCTGCGAAGTGCCTTTACCTTCTAACGCTATCTGCAAGAGTAAGAGAAACGCTGGAACATTGACCCGCGCCGGCCCCTACAGCTACAGGAGTATGACCTACAGCTACAGGAGTATGAGGAGCGCACGCTCTACACGACCTGGGATGTATCGTATAATCTTCTGGAAAGGGAAGACCCAGACGCGGCAAAATTTCTGTCATTATAGGCCTACTTCAATAACCAGGGCCTTTGGTACAGGCTGTTCCACGCTGGCCTTTCCGATAGTTCTCCCAGCTGGGTACGTAAAATTATCGCAGACGATGTTAACTTGAATGGAATGATGAGAATCCTGACCGAATGCTACTTCCTAGAAGTTGAGCCGGCGTTGGAATCATGGAGCATGCATAACTGCGTGCACGACTGGACATTGGCAGTACTGAACAAGGATATCAATACACAGCCAGCATTATTGGTACGCTGTTAACTGCATTGATGTCTCTATGGATGGGGTTGAAGTGAATTCCCTCGGACACATCTTGTACACTCGCTTAGCTGCTCACGCAGCACGGCTAGTGCAACAACGGTTCCTCCGAAACAATATCATTCCTAATTCTACTACCGATCGGCTCGACTCGGTCTCGCTTATCTCGCGGATACTTGAACGCCAAATTCAGCTTCCTGCTGGGGAAAGGATGTGCGCCCAGGCACTAGCTGGGTATGAGAAAGCGCTAGGACTGGACCATACATCGACCCTCGACGCCGTGAACAATCTCGGGAATTTATATCTTGACCAAGACAAAATGAAGTGTTCAAAACTGCGGATGTTCGCTGGTTATGATCTTGGAAGGAATAACTAGTTTCCAGGGAAATGATACTGTAGGTCTCATGCAAGAAAATGAGAGAAAGTACGAGGCGGGATCAGCCCATTGTTGGACGTAGTAAATTGCTAGTATTGGTCAGAGCACTTTGCCTTTCGTTATTTGTTTATTCTTGTTGTCTATTTAAAAGTCAGTTCTTACATATGAAAGTCAGAGTTCTATACCTTCATTTCTGGTCCCCATAAACAACATGCCTTGATTTCCCAATATGTACAGCGATCTGGCTTAGCAAGTATGAACTGTATTCTTTTATCGACATGCGAGATTCATACTGGCCTCCACGCATACGAGCAATACTCCTAGCTCGAATTCTGGCGCATTTCCTCGCCAACTAATGGATTCCAAGATTCACATTGAAGCACCGCATGCAAAATAACACCCGAGTAAGTTATGCTGCTGTAGACCAGGAATAGGTGCATCAGAGACTGGGCCGCCAGCAATTGGCCACGCCCATCCTCTCCAATAGTGGAAACAGATAAAAAGCAACGCCGAATGAATTCTAGTTGGCGATTTGACCAAAGTGTACCGCCAATGATAGGGGGGTTTGGGGCGTCCCAGTCAGGGCATGAATGGTAGGTATGGAATCAGGTACCAGGGAAAGCAAGCCCAGTGAAAGACAAGAAAATAGACGCGCTCGAAATTAATTTAATCACTATATTCACTTCAATTGTCTCTTGAAATCTATTTTGCATCAGGTTATATGTATCATGGTTCGTCTATTCGTCTACCCCTGGATTCACCTCCCAGAAATGCTTCCTGGACTATTCATACAAGCCTGGTGGAAGATGATTGGCTCAGCAAGGCAGCCGAACTATGTGAAGTAAGGTGTGGTTCATACTCGTTCTGGATTGGTTACCATCGGTATAAAATCCTTTGGCGGATCAGCACGAATCAGAAATCGTCATCCATATTCTTGTTCGAGCGACGTGAAGTGGATGTCAATATCATCGACGAGGTGGGGGATTGCACCTACGTTCGCCTTCTAGGATACCTTCGGACTAGCTGGCTTGAATGTTAACCGAGGCTTCTTTGATTCCTGAATTACGCAGATTCGGGCACCAAATCCTCTTGTCACAGCCGACAAGGCTTCAGTTTTATGCATAGAAAGCATCAATTTCGTACCACTCAACCCCCCTTGACTGAATACAGCCGCTTTATAGTAGTGCTGTATATGATGGCGATTCGGATGGACTATTCATTCATATCCTCTATCTCTAGACCTGCATGCCGAAAATGGCCCCTGTCACTCCGCTCTCTCGCACCAACTATTAGCTTCGCAGGAGCGGAAGAGGATACAAAGACGACAGATGCTTTTCAATTGTTACAGTTTCTATAGAATTGTGCCTTTTCACCGTTTCTTTTTGCCCCTCCGACTTTGCGGACGGCTCCTTTTGGGTTTCTTGTGTCTTAATTTAGTAGAATAGTGCACTTGCAATGCTGATGAATCGCGGCCAGGAAAATGGTCCGCGATTTCCTCCCATGTCAACTCCACTTCCTCTTTCAGCGTCGCCAGCAAGAGGTCCTAATTGGTGGAATAGGGCCGGCATTTAGCTTTCCCGAGATTTGAACGGGCTTTAGTCGTTGTCCGCTTTAAAATCTTATCTAGTCTCTCGGGGTTGAAGGGAAGTTTCTGTGCGGGCGTACATGATGTCGAGTGGACGTTGTCGGGCACGCGTGTGAAGAAGAAAGTGGGCTCTGTTCCCTGGGTCTCAATGGTGAGAATTGCCCGCCCAACAATATCTCGGCTCTCGCAATTGCTTGTCGATGAACTAATGGATGTGCCGTGGAAATAGCACGAAGCGGCCGAACCAAGGGCACCGTGTTTCTCCCCCAAGGAGTCCTCAAGATGTGAAGGTTCTAATTGTATTCCATCACAAGTAAAATCTTCGTCTGAGGAATTATCACAGCTTTCGGTACTTTCGCTCTCATAAGCATCTGTTAGAATGAATTGGGTTTTTGAGCGTACACTCCGTAAAGGCCTAGGCCGTAACGGAGATATAAGCACAGCGACGGATGAGTGGCACTGTTTATGAGCAGTGTCTTGTTCACTGATCGAAGACACCGGGCGTTCTTTTTTTCGGTGGCATTTTCTCGGAATAGCCAAACTGGGGTTCTTGTCGCCTTGAACGCGAGGCGTTCTCGGATGAAAATTAACAGACACGCACCCGGGGGCTTGTTCACGATCTATCAAATCGGGCATATTGACGTGCAGTGGATTGACCCGTTCAGAAGGGCCTGCCTCAGCGATGGTTCTAGGGGAACAATATGAAATCACTCCAGTTTGGCTCGCTCTTTCGTAGTCATCCAAACAGTCATTACAACAATCCCTCGGTGAAGGAATGCAGGGGCCCCTGCCGTTTCGATTTTCGAGGGCAACATCTAAGATGGAAGAGATAGAAGAAAGCGGCGTGTTGGAAAATTTTTGACGACATATAGTAGACACATTGGACGTGCCCCATGTGTGAGCTGGACAGACAGATTCAGAGTCGGCACAATATGAAGGCTGATCTTGTTTCCGCTCAATATCTTCCACCATATGCAATTTCCTAGTCCCAGGAGACGAGTTTGCAGAAACTGGTGAACGCACCGCGATAGAAGGGGAATGAGGAGGCGGTGGAGGACTCGTGCAACTTGATTGGGATCTCGGGAAGAAGCCCGAAACGTCCAACCCCATGCGTTTTCTTGAATTTACGGAGAACGAGGACGGAACTATATTCAAAATAGATTAGTTAATTGGAATGCAAAACAGCTCAAACCTTAAACTTACAATCAATGGGCATTTTTTTGTCTGAGCTATCTTGGTGGTGATAGTCGGGCTTGTCGTGCGAAAAACAGGCATCTCTGTCGCAACCACCCCGTGGGCTTGACAATGGCGTTGCCACCCCCAGGGCCTCGCCAGTTCAATGTCAAACAAATTAGCCGGTCCAACTGCGTGTTGATGCGTCGTATCTACTGCATTGGCAGCCGGAGAAAGGAACCAAGTCGTGGCCATTGTGGAGTCATCTGTCGGCGAGGAGGCCGGTTTGGTGAATGCAGGTTGCCCACCCGATGTCATGGTATTATAACCGCTCTGGTTGCTGTTAAAAGCAAAATATGGTGGTTTTGCAGGCTTTGAAGGGCCATGGTAGAGTTGTATATTATTAAGATGCAGACGGTGCAACAGCGAGGAATACATATCAGACGAGGATCAAGCCGCCGATGATGATGACGCAAGTTTGTTGTCTAAATCGAGAGCCCTCTCAACGAGAGGTAGAGCAAGTCGATCAATCGACTTGGACGGTACCGACAATATTTGTAAATCTTCACCTGTCATTACCTGACACGACCGTCCCGGCAAAGAAGAAAAACGTACAAAGACGTTTTCGAAAGAGGGAGCCATAACGAGGCTCCTAGCATTAGCTACTAGATGATTTTTTCAAATGAAAAAAAATATTATCCCCCATCTTGTGGGGACGGGCTTACGAGCCGTATTTATACTTTGGATCAGGCTGTATCAGCCAACGGCCCTAGCGTGAGCACGTGTTGTCACATCTTTTGGCACCTAGTGCCAAGAATTACCTGAATAGGTAATTTTCCCAGTCTCACAGTCTCATGCCAAGAATCGCCTGTTTGGGTAGCGGTCAGTCTCTGACCGCTTTCCTAATAGCGTAGAATACACTAACAGTCTTGGCGAGACTGTGAGACCGAGAAAATCTCCCGATCGGGGGGATTCTTGGCACATGGTGCTAATGTGACGTAAGTACACGTGCTCACGCTAGCCCGTAGCCGTAGGCGTCAGGCTAATACAGCCTGGTACAGGTATAAATACGGCTCGTAAGCCCGCCCCTAAGAGATGGGGGAATATAATCATAATATTCAGATAGTGAATATACGCCAAATGCCGATTTCTAGGTTTGAAATCCTTCTCGCTTGTTACTCTCCTGTGTGGCGAGAACTAGGTCACCTAGTGACAAATGGTGATTTACAATTGTTGTCCAAGTCGATGGATCGACTTGTTGTAACTTCTCTTGACAAGTTACCCAATGTTGATAACAAACTTAGCAAGTTTGTGAAGGACCCTTCCTCACTGTGGTCAGTCCTCCGGGATACCGGAGGAGCTATATCGGGCGAGTTTGCCCGCATGTTTCTTTTTGGGCGGGAGTCGCCCAATGAACTTGATATTGTAGTGTCCGACCCTCAATTGATTGAGGGTGAAAAGCAAAAGCTGTTCGAAGAGTACCTCGGTGATTCCGAGGGATATACTTTGTTCGTCAATGAGGGGACTTTGTCACCTCGAACTACTCAGGTAATTGTTTGTATATACCTGATTTGATGTGTAACTCATTTTTATAGGTTTTGAGATGTACGAGAAACGATGGTATTGTGATCAATGTTCATTGTCACATTCCCGGTGAGGCCGACGACGTCCGACACGCCGTGCTTGATGCGGCATATTCCACACACATCGCCTGTGTGATTGGTTTTGGCGAAGCTTACTGTGTGTTTCCTCCCGCTCTCAGGGAAAAGGACATATGGGTCTTATCGTTGTCATTGACCACCGCTCAGCGAAGCAAGTTGTAGTGTCTGTTGGACACCGTTGATGTCGAGTTGGATGTCAAGAAGAACTTTCGGTTTACTGGGCCTGAAGCGCAAGTTGATGAGAAGAAGTGGAGTAGTGTCGGGTGCCTGATTCTGCCTTAGGCAGCAGTCCCACATGGGACAGATCCAGATAGTAGTAGATAGCTAGATAGCTCTCTCTCTCTCTCCCTCTTCTTCCTCTCCGTCCCCTTTGCTCCCAGGTGAATCTACTGTACTGTTTCTCCATATCTGGATCTCCGCTCCGTAGATTCTCCATCAAGTAGTCCCTCTTACGCCTAAAGTGTGTGGTAATGGACAGTGAGTCTATTTTCTTTTATCCATTGTCAAGGATTGAAAATGTTGTGGAACTATGTTGTACAGATGTTACACTCAGTGCAAATATATATCTGCGTGAGCTGATTCGTCTCAACTTTTAGACCCACAGTCTATTATAGTCTCAACTTTTTTGGGCAATGAACATATATATATATCTGACTGTACGTCAAGTCAACTCACCATATGAAGAATTCAACACAATTTCAAGTAAATATAAATATTCCAACTACTTTATGTAATATAGGGCTTCGCCCCCCATGTTATGTAGCCACCTGTACCTCCCCTTTTTCTCATTCTCCATTGGTTTTGTGCATCAACTTGCACACAAAACCTTTTAGTAATCCACAAAATTTCATCATGTCTATGTATAATTCACATACATATAATTCTATCTCCTTTAAATCAAAGCATAGTAAACATGACAAGAATTCTTATAGAAATAGACGAGATCAAAGTCTCATCATACGATCAGGCGCTCTAGTCTGTCAGATACAAGCAGAAGAAACCAGAATTGAAGCGTGAAAGACGGATGCAATCAGGGAGCATAGGTGCATCAACGAATGCCCCGACACAGTATAGGGCTTGGATGAACGTTGAACCCGGACTTGGATAGACCCACGGGAGTAGAACCACCCTCCGATACCGTTTACCAAAGCCATAAAGATATAAGATGCCGTCAGTCGAGATATACTCGAAAAAAAAGCGTTGTAGAGCGAGACACTGCATAAAGCCAAGCCTCCAAATCCTCCAATAACAAGCACTCGTTCTCTCTTTTCTACTGGCCAGGTTATCAAATAAATGGCACAGACCACCCCACCCAGTGTGACTCCCAGGACAATGGAATGGTTGCTCCCGCTACCAGTAGCTTCTAAAAGCAAGACCGATACAGATGTCCCCCATATGTGTAAAATAATTCCAATGTGGTCAAGCAGGAAGTAGAAAGAAGGGAGCTGCTTTCCTGAGTCGAGCATGTAGTGACAAAAGGTAGAAGTTCCAAAACAAAAGAAGTTGGTTGAGACAGAAACCAAAGCTGTGAGCGCATTGCTTGTGGACAAAGGGCACTGAGACATATGGTAGGTAAAACATAGCAGGATGATACTTCCGCATAAATGGAATTTCGGGTTGACAGAGCCGTTGGTGCGGACCAGTGTGCTTCGGGGCCTCAAAAAGCGATAGCTGGCTTCCATTTCGACAAGATATACTGTCACTGAAAACCTTTATGGAATGAGTAATTTATGGCAACCCAGATAGACACAAGGTTTTTCGAAGTAGATGGGATAGAAGGTCTTGAAACCGGTGGCAGAAATGGTAACGTTATATGACGAGATGCTTTGTTTGTTTTCCTTTATGGTACGTACCTGGCGCACCATGTTGGTCTTTTTTTGTTACTGTCATGATTTTCTCGAATCATTTCTTATGAAACCCCGGCCATCTAGTAACTAATTCTGGTAGGCAGTACTACGACTGTACGGGTTCCAACATACCAGCCTCACGAGGTAGATACCGAGTTGAGAGATACGCGCCGGGCTCGCCATTGGCCAAAGTACCAAAGGGAAACATTCAACGCTGTTCGCTCAGGAACCATCAATCTCTTGGCCGGTCAAAAGTCTCTTGAGCCACCGGGGCGCAATCACCGATTTGAGCAATGTGTTATAGTTAAAGGAATAGCAGCCCTCAAGGATCAGGAGTAATCGATCAGCGAGAAAATACCTATTCTGCCGGAACAGTGCAGTAGGACACGTCGGCTCTTATACATGCTTGCGGTTGGTTGGGCTGAATTGTATAATAGTGATAATGCGATAGATACATCATGCAATCAGAAGATAGACAAGGTCCTGGGTCCTATCACAAGCCATATCTATGTCCTTCTCGTAGGTATCACCTTGAAGTCTCTCGGTTTGACGAACCATCTGGCCCTTGTCCTCCACCCATCAACCCTGTTGTCCCGGCTCAACTCGAAAGCAAAGTCTCGTACCAACACTGGAATCAATTTACTCATCTCCAACAATGAGATGTTCTTCCCAATGCATGTTCTTGATCCCATACCAAACGGCATGAAGTTTTGCTCCATCAGTTTGGACTGCTGTTCATCCACTTCGAGCCATCGTTCAGGTCTGAAGGTAGCTGCATCAAGCCCATAGATATTTTTGTCGTAGTGTGAGACCCAACTGTTCACCCCAACATTTGTCTAGCATTCATATTAGCTGCACCCACTAAAGTTTATGATAGGGGGCCCTTACCCCTTCTGGGAAGAACTGACCAGCAAGTACCTCCCCGCCCTGGGGAACAACACGGAACATTGGAAATCCTGTGGCTGGATGAACGCGCAACGACTCTTTGATAACAGCCTGAAGATATGGCATTGCCTGTGTCTCTTTGAATGTCGGGTTGCCATTTATTCCAGACGAATTGATCTCCTCACACAGTCTCTGCATACATGCAGGTGCATGAAGCAAGTGGTACAGAATCGAGCTTAAGCTGATACCAGTTGTATCACTTCCCGCTCCAATATTAGAGGCAGCGGTGGCTAGGATATCGTGGTCGGAAAGCTTCTCCGGATCCTGCGCTTGGGCGACAACGACCTTCATAGCCATATATGTTGGAAGATCGGCGTGATGGTTCTTCATTGTAATCTTTGCATTCTGGATGTGTCTGGAGCTGAATATAGTCAAAAAGCTTTGATCTATGTCTAGATATTTGCCAACCTTCATGAACATTGGATACAGCCAGGCGTACAAGCCGAGATAGGAGCAAATAGTGAAGGAGCCATCGAGGAACTCAATCATATTTCCTACGTCTTTGCCTGCATCGAGGAACCCGAACCGATCGCCGAACTGTTTTGGTTATTACAAGGCCATTGAGTGGTAAAGCGCAGGATAGCCATGGCACGCACAGTAATCTGTCCGATCACATCGAAAGCGTAACACTGTAGCCAATGACTCATATCAATGAGCTGGCCCCTTGTTGCAAACTCGTCCAGTCGCTGCTTAAAAATGTCGATGCAATTGTCCACGAATGGCTCATATGCCAATATTGAGGTCATTGAATATAACGAGGCGACCTTTTTGCGATCCTCTGAATGCTTTTTTGAGGATCTCTCCGAGAACAGATTTGTCAAACTTAGGTCGCTGTCAAAGTTCCAGGCATCGTACCATTCCGACTTTAGATATTTAGAGCCTTGACCATAGATTAACCTTGTAGCCGAAGGGTCAGAGATGCTGTACCAGTTTGGTGCTATACGGACAATGGGGCCTGTAGTCATGGTATGAGTAAGGGGTGTGAGGTTGACAGGAATGATACTTGCCATGTTGTTGATGCAGTTTGATGTTTGTCTGGTGAAAATCACCCCGTTTCATTTGCCATAAGTACCAGAGGTTTGTGAAACGGCTGATAACTGGACCTGGGAGATAGAGACGGGCTGGAAATCTGACTGTAAAAATAATGAGTCGGATTATAAGGACTGCAAGCGCTATGGGGATAAGCGTTGAAAGAGAGGTCGATAACAACATAGCTCGAAATGGCCATCAAGATACTGTATTGTTGAATAAGCCCAATGAAGCGTGGTGGAACAATGTTCTGAAAGGAGAATGGGTTAACTTATATACGTGTTGCCCTCGCAGTTTTGGCTCTCGGAGTTGCTATTTCAAAAACTTTATAATAATATAAAATTATTTATATTTGTATGAAAAAAGCGAGGTTGGATGCCATCATCCTCACTCTTTCCCTGTTTAAGAGTCCGCTTGTGTAGTGTAAAAACCTCCGGAGTTCCAATCAAAATGTCTTTAATGACCAAACGTGGACATAAATCACGATCTTCAGAAGATTCTGTCACACAGTATGAATCAGCGGAAGTAAAATGTGAAATTCGGCTCCGAAAGATCAGTTTCAACTCTTTATTCTCCTCGGCTCTAAAACTTCCACTTCGGTTTACATCTGGCCTAGGTTATCACGTTCTGTTGAATAGAAAAAGGGCCGTGAGCAAGGGGCTGTCACTGACTATCTATATTAGGCCTGGCGTCACTTAAAATAGACATTGCGAGAAATATCTAAAGAGCACACGATAGTGAAATTGATGTTAATCCGCCCTGTATCAAAATTTCGATGCCGAAAAGTGTTATGTCGCTCGCAGTATGTCACCTTGTCACCACCTCAATTTCAGCATCCCATGACGATGCGCAGCTCCAATAACACACCCTTCAGTAAACAAAGCTGAAAATAGTCCAAAGAAATGAGGCTCGAGGCTCTTCCACCAATTGATTGACGGAAGATCTTACAGCGAAATCAAGTCTCGGAAGAATTAGGGCATGAAAACTGTTGTTCTTGTGCCTCAGGCATCAACTTCTTTTGGATAGTTTGAGACCCATAGTGTATTTTCTCTCCTCCAATCAACTAGCTTTATCTAGTTTCTGTCCCTTGAATCTCTCTGTAGTCTCAACAAAAACCGAACCTAAAAACATAAAGCTAAACGTGTCAACATCCACAGAAGTGTGACTCACTGAGCTTTGGAAATCGAGCTCACCCTTCTCTGTATTTGTTATAGGAAATGGATCCCCCGCCCTCCTACATGTGGAATTACTTAGCTGGTACTCTTACGTCTCCACTAAGATGGACACCTGGTACGGAGGTGCAGACTCTGACAAAATGGTCAAACGTATAGAACAGGAGGACAGAATGCGCACGGCATGTGGCCGGTGGTACTGGAACGTGGTCAATTTTCTACCTCCAGGGATGATTTTAACCAGGCCAGTGAAACACCAACGCCCATCCCCCCCCCCCCATAACTAATTGTTACGCAGTTTCCTCCTTTTCCCATCTGTGCTGCAAGGTCCTTTAAACCAGGGCTTGAGCACGAAGAATGCCAGCATTGGGGCTGCCTTTGCCCTTGCCGCATGTGGGTTTCTGCCTTTGTTCCTGCTCCCCTTCGCGGCACTCAGGTCACGAATGTCACTTCTAGGGAATAGGTACGATCAGATATCTCAAGAAAGACCCACTATGGACCGCTGACCCCAGCTGTCAGGCTATGTCTCACGGCAAATCTTCTTGGAGTGTTGAACATTGTGATACTTCTCGCCTACGGACTTACAAAAAGCAAAATGTTAGTGACCGCGCTAGCATTGGCGGTGTCGCAGATCGTTTGCTATACTGCTGTCATTTGGCTACGCTCTCGCCAAACCGAGAGAAAGATGGTCAAATTTTCCATCTTGGCTCACCGCGATCGCCCTGGGGAACATCTAAGGAATCTTAAAATTAGAGATTGGAGTGAATATAAGGGGCCCAGCAACCTCGAAGAGCAACAAATTTGGGTGTGACAGCTAGTTGCGTCCTCGGGCTTCGCTGGCCGTGAATGAAAATAGTCGTTACTTCCAATGCGTCATGTGTGGAGAATGGTGACAGTGCCTACCAGCGGATGAGGTGATACATACTCCGATCCGTAAGAAAGCCTTTCCTTGTTCTATTTTACCACTTGTTTTAATTGTTTCACTCTTCATTCTCGCACAAAGCTATGTAGTCAGTGTTTTCTTCTCAAAATTTCGATAATGAAGATATACTCGGTCGTTCTCTTGGGGCAACCGGCGGCGGCTTCTTCTAACCGACGCAATAGCATGCTACAAGGAAGCTACACTAATCAATTTCCCTATATCTATACGTAGAACGCTTTTGCCCCTTGTTTTTCAAATATAGAAAATAATAAATAATGAAATAGAAAGAAGGATGATGAAGAAAGCATAGTTGGACTTTTTTATTTATATTTCTCTTCTTCGGAGATTTTTGCCCCACTTCTTTGTTCCCGTTTTTGTTACGTTTATTTTCCTACTCACATAGCGCTTTACACTTTACTGCCCTTGTAAAACATAAATGTCGCCGTCATCAACCCATCGATTATCAAGCCTTTCTCTTCCAGTATGGATTGGGGTTCTAGCTATTTTCAATCGACATTCGGCCGGATCGTTGGAAACCCTTATCATCGTTCAACATGCCTAGGGTTCAAAGATAATGGAACTCTGTGTCAGAACGACGTGCCAAAGGAATCTCGCATCGATAGTGCAATTCAACTTGGGCTGCTCCGAGGAGGTCCTGTTAGTCTTCCTTCGGAAGCAGTTCTTACAGGCGCAGCAAAATCTATGTTGTGTTCGGAATGCAGACCCGATAGATCTCAAGCCAAGCAGTGTTCCCGACGATGGATTCAACAATGGAATGCAACGATCAATCGAACAAACCATACACCCATAACACCGAATCGAGGGATCCATGACATGAACCAATTGGTACAGCATCGGCTAGCCAGATCGTCTCCCGCGACATCGATACCACGCGCTGTATTGAAGCCATGCCGCTCCATGCGTTGGATTGGGTTCTCGCATCAGAATGGTTCCAATGGTCTCCTCTCCCGTCCGCCGATTTGATACTACGGGAACTTTGGCTGCATGAGAGAATGCATCAGCTTCATTATCCCATCGGCCTATTTAGCCTCCTACGCCTCCATTTTCTCTACCACGCTATTGAGAGCTCAAATGACTCTGAGTCCTGAAAGCTTTCTTGCATACCGTGTTCTTTCGGTAGATAGTCCATCATAACTCCCCTCCTCTGGCTGACTTCGTTAATAAAACCGGCCAATCTGTTGACTTGTTTCGGCTCTCCGGTGACTTGCTTCAAAGCTTGCTGCATTGTGGCCAGCTGTTAATCCAGCTTTCCTTGGACTTTCTCTGCACGAAGCGTGCGCGAATTCACTGCGGCAAGAATACGAAGAATTTCCTCTCGATATCACAAGAGAGTTGCTAGGGCTTGTGGTACTGTGCTTATCTAAGCATCTGTGGCTTTGCTTAATTGCGCTCAGGGAGATATGCGTCTTTGGTAGGTAATGTTTCGTGGTCAGGCAAGGTTTGAAGGTACTGATGATGATGGAGTGGTTTAGGACCTGTATGTAGTCTCTGTTCGTTTTTGCAAAAGGATTAATTTACTCATATCTTTTACATACCGCCACTAGTCGGCCGTGCGACAAATGTCTTATAGCGCCGCCAACAGACGTTGGTTTCTGCGGGCCAGGGTTGTAGCAAAAGCAGCACCAATCCGAAAGGAATAAGCATTGTCTCCCCGCGCATGGCTAACTCGATTTGGTGAAGTGACAGCCAAGGACACAAGAAAAAACTCAGCAGCAAAGCCGTCGATGGTGACCTGTGCGTGTTTTATCTGGTAATATTTGTGTCTATAGGGAACGTGGAGACTAAAAGCTCTTAGATACGTAAATGCAGATCCGTCGGGCTTTATCAGCAGCCTTTGAGGTAAATTGTGCAAGCGCAAATCATAGCCCATTTTCCTTATCTGCTATGACCTTGGCTTTGTGATATAAATGGGTTAAGTGGCCGAGATTGCTGAGCTTTTGATTTGGTAAACACCTCTAGACATATTTGATCTAGCACATTGTATGCTTAGTGATGGCGGGAGGTTGCATGGACGGTCAATTTATACAACAAAATCTTATGAATTTATTTCCATGTTTATCCTTGCTGACCCATTTTTTTTACCTACTCCAATCCGACATCCGGGAGCTCAATAGATACTTCCAGGTACGTTGTACTTTTCGGGACCTATCATTGGTCTTTATTCACCAAAATAACGAAACCGATCACGACAGGTTTCTGTAAGCTTTGGCAAAATGGTTATCATATCCTGAAAAGTTATAAAAATATGAGGATACTACTGCAAGGGGATGGAAGCTCGACGTAGTCTCCTACAGATGCACAGTCCTGCAATAATATCACAATGATTTCTCAGCACAATTTAGAACATCAATACTGGAATCAAAAAATTGTAATTGATTAGCAACTGATGAAATTTAATTCGATCAGTTGCTTAAATTCTCGGTTGATTAACTCAAAGGGAGTGGGTGTCCAGTTCGCTTTTGACAAAACCTGTCTCTTTGGAATTAATTGCTCGTTGGCTAATTGAAATGCTTTGAATATTGAGGAAATATCGACGTTGATTAGACAGTCTACTGACATTCAAATCCGTTCCATGAGATGTCGCCATTTTTCCAAAAGGTATATATATCTGGCAAAAACAATTGTGTCCACCATTTTAGAGAGCTCATCACACCCAGCTTTGTTTCTCCTTAGGACCCTCAGGTTTGAGTTTTCGAAATGAACGCTCCCTTTGTACCTTCTCTTTTCCTTCGATCTCTTCGTGGGTATCACCGCTCGGCGCAGACATATCCACCCAGTTCATCTTATGAAATAAGCGCCGAAGTGCCTAGGCCGTCCGTGGTGAGTTCCATTATTCTGACTGCAACGCGGGCTGGGTTTCTGACCG